TTTTGCCTCATTCCCTTGGGCGACTGCCCGGCTGAGCACCGGTCTTTAGATTCAGCAGCTCCTCCACGGTCAGGGTCGCATACACAAGACTCAACAACGCTGACAGTAAGACCGGCATCGACCTATGTAGAACTTATTACCAAGATGAGAAACCTGCTGCGAATAGGCCATCTCTGTGGTCAAGGCTTTGCCTGTCCGTGGGACGTTGCAGCAGGCAGCGAGCTTGGCAAGAGCCTGGGGATTCGTCAGAACGGAGCATCCGGGCTCAATTGAGCAGTTGTTGTTTCCTCACGACCAAACCACACATTCCACTGTACGGTATATTGAAGTGTTCAGCCAATCAAGACATACAAATGACACCTGCTGGGCTACAAATACTCTTCGTTTGCGTGACGATTCTCTGAATCTCTTTGCCTGGGCTTGAAACGCTCATACCAAAACAACGACTGAATCCAGACCTCCTGCAAAAATAAAATCAACTATCATCCAACATCCAATCAGGAGTCGAGCGGCGTGGTGAACTGAGCATCGGTCGCCGGCTTCCGCGACTGGCAACTCATTGACTTTTGAAATACAACATATGACTCAACTTATTCCGCGATACCCCTCCATCTACAAACTAATTGCCGACGCAGGCCTCTTTAGGTGGTGTCTGGAAGCTGTCAGCCTGAACAGACCGCTCCAACCAGAAAGCCCATACCTGAGACGTACGCGCCGGTGAATGAGAGCGCGACTGAAGCATCCTCGTTGTTCAAGGTCCGGACCTCAATAATTTATGAATGGAAGGAACTACTTGTTGCATACGGGACCTATCATAATTAGGATTATTAGGGCCCTTGCCCTACACGGCGTCACGCATGCCGACGAGGCCGCCTGGGATGGCTGCGCGCTCATGGACTGAGCACGCTATTTAATTATCGATCAGGCTGCGGCAGCACATTGAACCGGACGCTGCACCTCCAAGCCTCCAGAGTAGTGCTTTCAACTGAATCTAGACTGAATCCGCATACTGGCGGCGCCACGATAGCGCGGAGGTGTGCTTGTTCGTAAATGAATTGTCGGCCTCACCGTTCAAAATAAATCACGGAGTCATGTCATTTCCCCTAAGGCCCAAACAAGTGACGAGCTTGACCTCAGGCAAGGTCCCATGCGAAAGGGGGAGAGCTCGATTGGGAGTCGGATACCAAGCTTCCAACCCCGCGTGACTGAGACCTGGGTCGTGTGTATTCAAGCCCTGAAAATCAGCTTCGGGGAGGGAATGTAGAAAAAAACGAATGCGAGACGCAGTCTCCACTTGTTAAGCAGGCGGTCAACACTTTCCAATGATCAACGCTGCAGTCTTCCCAGTCCAAGTCGCCACTCGGGGCGACGAAGCCCTTGGTGGAGGGATGCCACCGCGCAGAGCGGGCGTCATGATGTCGCAAAGCTCGATCCGAAGAGGCTGCGAGCTGCCCAAGCAAATGCACAGCCCGGTGCTCCCATTAATTCACAGATGATCCACAAGTGCTAGTGTATGTGCATCTATATTATCGTCCTTCTAACCTCTATTTCATTACTATATTGGTAAAATTTAATTGACGATAAGTGATTATCCATTAGTATTGGATTTCATACTAAGTGTAAGTCAACTGATATGCTTTACTGTTTGGTCGAACATATGAAGCTTCCCTTATCTAATGTTCAAACCTATGTTCATAAAACTATATAACGATATTGAAAATTATATCATATATATATATATACACTTGTATTTCTACCTGCATACATACATACATACATACATACATACATATACGTATTAGTATGTATATGTCTTTGCAATAATCTATATGTACTTCTCTCTCACTCTCTCTCGATCGAGTTTTGGTAAATTGGAACATTGTTGGATCGATAGCCTGGTTTTCTGCCAGAATTGCAGCGTATGAAGCATGATGGAATCTGTTTGCAACATTCTGAGAGCAGCAACACCGATATAGAAGGTATCGTTTTAAAACAGGTCACGACGCGAAATCAGCTTCGCAAACACAAGAAGCTGAATCGAGGAGCGCTTGCTGTTTACCAGCCTGCGAGTGATATGGGAAGGAACCGGGGAGGGATGCCTAATCGCAATGCGTCTGCACTATAAGGAAGCCTCTTGATCGCAAGAGACAAAAGAAAACGAATAATGAATCCGGCATGGACCTCTTCGGGATCAATCAGGGCCGTGTTCTGATCGAATGCAGGATGATCTAAATATTCCAAAATCTGAATAATAAGACGGTCATCTCATCTTCGAAGGAATTCGGCTGCGGTTCAGAGACTCTGGAGCCTGGCGGCTGGGAGCACGACAGGCCCTGGTCGGATGTCCTGCTATTTCCCTGTCGGAAATCAGGGCATCAAGAATCAAAGGAGTAAGTATATGATTTCGATGTTAAAATATTTTTCAACACTGTCACAACTCAGTAAGATAACTATACATCTTACAACAGGCAGAACAAGATATCCCAAACGGATATTGAGATCATCCCAGCGGCTAGCTAGATTAGACGGAAATATCCATTCTGCGCGAATAATAGACGTAACGTGATCTGGGTCATGTAACCAAGACTACGGATTTTGCAACTATCTAAGTCGCCTAATGTTTCGAATTATTCAAGTTGACTACACATTCGAAGCGTTACCCTAATCCTCCAAAGAGTTGAAGGAATTCGAGAATCATAGTTGATCTGTATCTATGCATAGGTATTGAAAGAGATACTATGACTGTTTCAATAAGGGAATATAGAATGAAATTCGGTAAGTATAGTATCGGAAATATCATTTAGAAGGTTGGAGACGAAATTTACATCCCGCTTTATCATAGGATCAAAGGGAGTCGGTTAATTCGGCTCATCTAAAAACTTAAGAACACCTCTATCCAAGTGATTTTAATCTTTCAAGATTGCCCAAGCCCTCAGAAAAGCTTGGCATGCTTCGAACAAGTACTCTAATGACTAGTTTTGCGATGGATTTAATTAAGCAATTTTGGTAGACTTTGGCCAATGCAAACTCAGATTCGGGTTTTCAATGGGGACACCAACACTGACCGCGGCCAATCTGGAACATTGCTGCTTTCTAGGGCCGAGCGTGCTGAGCCGAGGACAGCAGAAAAACCCTAGAAAAGACTGCCGCAGCCGGGTTGAGCTAGAGCATCCCTGCCCCAAGACTATGTGAACTATGTGCTCAAACACACGCGTGATCACTGGCGAATGTGGGACAGAAAGCTTCACGTTTTCCTGTCGAGGGGTGGAGGCACCACGATGATCTTACATAGGGTATTGCTGGTGTTCCCATAAAAGTACTCAAAACAACCCTCAGCAGTTCATGTCATGTTACCTAATATAAACCATAATTACTTTGGATGTGGGTGTCGAGGGCTCCGATCTTGTCTACACAGGTGCTCAAAGCCTAATTGGAAAATCGTCTCTCCAGCGCCGCCTGAGAAGTGACAACAGAACACCATCGTCGTCCTGATGCAACCCACCTTTTCTCGTCAGTTTGCGACAGCATGTCACACCGCTGTTCTGTGAACGAGGTATTTGATCGTGTGTGCACGGGTTCTGCACCTTCCTAGGCCATCAAGTTCCCGCTTTGCAGCTGAGATATGTGCTGTCAGCTGTGACGCAGCCGTAATGTGATTGTACCTGGTTCACGAATTGAAATCTCTCGAAATCATAATTCGGAATGCATGCAGCAGGACCCGGAGATGCAGCAAGCAATCATCAGAGATCTGTCGTTTCGACAAGCCTTGTGAGAAGCATCACACCACTTTGGAAACATGCGACGGATGCTGCCTGTGCTCCGCGGTCTACTGTGTTGTATGTACAAGGAAGGCATTTGTGATCTGACCTGCGCAACGCAAACATGGGGACTTATCATGGGACTTTCCCATAGGTTGAAGCTGCCAACATGGAAGCACCGATGCCGGGATCACACTGCACTGGTGAAACCTCTGGACTTCATCTTCCTCCACTCCAGAAGTTGAAGTTCAGCTAGGGGAGCCTGACTCTGGCTCTGCGGTGACGACTCTGCAGATCGCGGGAGCCCAGCGGAACTGCCCTGGGCCTGAAGTCTTGCTGGCTGACCGACTGGCGGCCTCAGAGCAAACTCACCGAAGGCTGCATACTCAAGATTCCACATGAGTCAGGAGAGCCTGTCCACACGCAAGCTGAAATTCTGAACTCTTGCAAAGGCCATTTCTCCGTATCATGTCCGTTCCTTCTGGGTCTGGCGCATGCCCGCTTGGCTGAAGGCATTTTTCCGCACTGGGAGGATGGCAGAATGGATTTTCCATCTGCGAAGGGCCCCGGGTGGCGACTTTGGCCCGGCCCGGCCCGCAGAAAGAGTCGAGTCATCATTCGCTGCGCGAGGCGTCTACTTCTATCCTTCTGCGTGAAAGTCAAAAACTTTAGCTTCATACCCATGTGGACAGTCTCTTGACTTATAAGTCCTATGTCATACTCCCCTCCGTCTCAGGCGAAGAGATAGTCTAGAAGACCAACCTGTCAGGTGAATGCCAAAGGACTCCAGCAAAATTCCTAAACCCTAAACCCCTTTTTTTTTGCAACAGGCTTCGTACTTCGAAACCCTAAACTGTGAGGGAAGCGATCTGACCTCCTCCACTGGCTCCGGCTGTCGGAAGCATGGGGGAGCTGGCTGAGTCCCGGCAGTAGCCAGGCCGGCGACACCCTCCTTGGCGTACTAAAGGTATTATAGACTGTACTCTATTTTGGATCCGTTCTATTCTTTTCTATGCTGTTTTCATATTCATTCTATTCTTTTCTAGGCTGTTATATTCTATTCTGTGCCTTTGCATGTTGAAAAGTCCTTTGCGGGTCAACACTGACCAACTATGTTTCGGAGCCACTGCTCGCCAGGAACAGGGCTGTAACAGCCAGGATGCACATTTGTAGTAGGACCTGCCCCATGGCCGAAGGCCGGGATTCACCGTCACGACATTCCTCAATTGTACCAATGCGGTCATATGAAACAATCCCATGCATGCCGGACCAAAGACAAAAGCCTGGAGTTCTGTTCCCCGGTCCCAAAAGCATCGGCAGGGAAAAGCACGAGCCAAGCTTAACTGCATGGGGGCTTTGGCATAACGGGAGGGTCACATTCCTTTTCGACAAAGGACGGCTGACGTTCTAGCCCGCACCCTACATGGTCTACACGCCGCATGTTGCAGTCGGGAAACTCAAAGTGAATGTTCTGCATCGGCCGGTCCGGATTGCCATAGACGAGGCCAGGACTCTGCTTAGGATTCAATACCTGGGCTCAGGAGGAGAGTAAGACATCGAGGCTTCATCTGTGGTCCTACACAACATCGGGGACCACGAAGTGAAAGGCAATGAGGTTCTGCAATCACAGAAGATGCTGTGCAGTCAAGATGCCCGTACGTTTCGTAGAGTTATATTTGCCCACAGCATTGATGCGCCCGGTGGTGAACAGCCGGCCTCGCCATCTGGAGCACAGATCAACCGAGCCATGGTTTGTTCAACAAGACCTATATTGGCTGCTTGCACGTGCTGCCAGTTTGTTGACTTGCCCCCGTCCCAGCCGAACCTGGACGATAATGGTAATTTCACATGAAGCCCGCTATCGGTAGAGGTAGAGTCGCAGAGAACAATCTCGACAGAAGAGATGCGATGCTTGCCGCAGCATCGGCAATATCATGCAGAAGAACCCAGCTAACTCTACCGTAAGCTGCAATAGGAGGCCTAGATGGCCATGTCCCCAACTTCCCTAAGCCCCTTTTTGTTGAACGAGGTCTCTCTGAAGCCCCTTAAACCCTAAACCCCTGAAAAGCATTAAAACCCGAAACATCCCTTAACCCCTAAAACCCTAAACTGTGGCTGAGAGCCCAACGAAAGGCACCTCTGGCCAAAGCAGTGAACACGCCTCGGGGCTTAGCCAGGAGTTCAACTCATGAGCTAGGGTTTCGACTCTCACACTCGTACAAGGCAGGCATGGCTCCACACAATCCCGTCACGCAATCAGGCATATAGTCACGATACACTAAACAAGTAACGAATACAAACGATAGTAAAGACTGCGAAGATGCTGAGCGTACTGAGGTATTACACAACCTGCCGAATCTCACTCACAAAGTCCTGATCCGGTTCGCTGTTTCCAAAGGTGCTAGGGTTTAGGGTTTAGCATTCCGATCCTCAGTTTTGCCCCATTTTGTTGCCCTCAATAGACTTCGCTCTGCTGCAGGCACATCGTTGCCGACCTGGCCCTTCTTTAGGTGTTCACCAGTATGGATTTAAGACCTGTCTACCCATCCTGCAGCAGTCTGCTAAGGGGTTAGGGTTTAGGGCCGATCAACAGAACGAGCATGGCATTCTTGCTTGCAGAAGCACCTAGAACGCGACGCGGAACTGTTTGCACATCAAGATGCTTTGTAGGAGTCCGCCTCTTGCGCGGGGCCTATCCAAATCGGAACCTCTGGTTCAGCTCCGGAAGATGAGCTACGCTACACAAACAAAAGAACTTCGGTATGAATGCTTCCCGCACCTGGCTTGGCCGATCCATGACAATGTCTTCCTGAGCTCAGTTAACAGGTTTAGTTAAGTTTTGGCACCGATGCACCGACACGATCAAAGAAGTGAGCTGTAGTTCCGAAACCCATCACGTTTCAACATGTGCCATTAGGGCCGGCAGGTGCTGAAGACCGACCTCCCTGTGGCAGAGGCCAAGTCGCATAGAGCACGTTTGAAATCTCACCGCTGACCTAGGCAGACCGAAACCCTAAACCCTAAACCCTTTTTTACACAGGCTTGATTGGAGCTCGCCCGGCCAATGTCCCTCGTAGCCTATACCCTAAACCAGATGCGATCACTCGTCAAGTTGTCTTGTTTCAGCCCTCTGGCTTTAGTTGCCTGCGTACTCAACGCCACAAGTTAAGCCAAGTGGCTCCGTCAATTGGGGAATTCTGCGACTTCAGATAGATTCCTCCAGTAGTCGCATGCATCCACAGAATTCTACGGTTCTTTACATGAGACTTGGCTTGGTTAGACTGATGTCCTTTGAAGGTATGCAGCATGTACGCATCCCGAAACGTCACATTGCGGACACAGTTGTGCCCAGGAGTTGGACGCACCTTGGGAGGCTCAGTCGCGAAGAACATCTCAGACATCTCTGGCAAGCATTTGTAGCCATGCGCTTCGGCAGATCATACCCTTATGATTACCATGAAGGTGCAAGACTGCAGACAAGTCACCGCACCGATAGTGAGACCCAGTCCACTGGCATTGACATGCTCCACCAGGACCTAAACCCAATACTTGGACACAACATGTCACAGGACCTTAGAGACCTTACACTCTTGCCCCACTGCAGAAGTAGTTTGGCTGAGACGGAATGCAACCAAGAGGCATTTTCTGTGCAATCTGCATTGATGCCCGTCCGGTCCCGCGGCTGGACGGTGAAACAATCATCTTGATTCCAAACGCTGCAGTGGTGGATGTGAATGTCGCGGCCAGCGACATCGAAGCCTCGGACTGCCCCGGGAGGACTTCGCACAGGATGCGGTGTTCAACCCGCGACGAAAGCCCTCCCCCTTCTTGAAACTTTGGCTTTAAGCTACGGCCAGAGTTTCGGCTAGTTTTGGGCACTCCTGTTGCCTTGGAGAAGGAGGCTAAAGGTCAGAAGACAGAAGTGGGTGTGAATCTTGCCATTCCTCCCTACAGAACTGCACGTCTCGAAGCCGTCGGTGTTGAGGGCATCCATGTTCCCAAGATCATGATCATCAGACTTGTCCACACGGGCGCTGACGGTGCAATGGCGGATCTGCAAGCAATGCATTTCTGCATCTGGAGACGCTGGCAGTATGTGACTACGGCGAGCCTTCCGCATGCCAAAAGTGCTTATCAGAGGCAGGACGAGCATGCCTCCATTCTTGCGACGTCCAGGGCTGTAAAGGTCCAGTACGCAGAATCCACAAAGTTCCTTGCGGCAGGCTAAAGGTTCAAGCGTCATATCAAGTTATATCCGAATAGTTAGAGTTGTTCACTTTATATTCGTTTGGAGGCCTCCATTTGCTCGCATGCTCCTGCAGAAATAGAGCTGCTTCACATTGCGTTCTAGGCTCCACTTCTCGACGAGGATGTCCGTGCCGTTGTAGATGCTCAACAGACGCGGACGGTTCTCGCCATGAAAGAAATACTGGAGATACCCTGCAGATGGTTCGAGCTGTTCACCAACATACGGAGCTTCAATGTGTACTGAAGTGCTGCCCAGCTTCCCCACCAAGACTTACCATGTCCATTCAGCGTCCCACCGGAGGTACCTCTCCACCGGTAAATGACACAAGCATTGCTACTGAAAAGATGTACTGAAGGCCAAGAAGCTGGTCAATGTCAACTTCGACACGTTCGCAATGAAAATAGCTTCCTTGACACATCGCCTTCAGCAGAAAACAGACGTGCATGGCGAAATGAGAATTCTTGGTTAAGGTGTTCGTATCTGGAACAAGCAGCTTCCTGCTACAACTCCTGTTGCAACCATCACATATCCCTGGCCAGAAGAGCTCTTGGTGCGAGTGGCTTGGCCCTCGCAGGCTGCAGTGGATTCAAGTTGCAGATGTCACCTTCCTGCTCCGGCCAGCCTGCGCGGCCTGCACAGACAAAGCTCTTTTCAAAAGCTGCGACCCAAAGCCGAACTGATCGACGAAACCTGGCACTTGGTGGGCTAAAGGGTTGCTCATCTTCAAGGCTTCTGCCTACCGAAACAGCTTGAAAGACTTTCTTCCAAAGCAGGTGCTGCGGCTTCTGCTACCATAGCGTTTCGCTTCCTTCGACCGCAACTCGTCACTGTCTTCTTTAGGGCTTCTCGCAGTAGCCGCTACTTGCTATCGGCACCATTACAGGTCCCATGAATACCAAGTAGGTTAAGCTACCGTCGAACCTGACGTGCCGGCACTACTGCCTAGAATACGTGCCATGCCTGGCAGGAACTCCAGCGTCCCGTCCAGATGCAGAGTTACATTGCGAGCGTTTTGTAGCAGAACACCGCCGGCCAGCCAGAAAGTCTTGTTCGGGACGAAGAGTGTGTCCTCAGACGGCAGAGGTCCGCTCAAAATGTCCCCCAGTAGCTCAGCAGCTTTCCGGACACGTCAGGTCCAACACAAAGGCCCAAGACACCCCAGCGTGTAGCGAAGCCAGCATAGCGTTCAGAAGCTCGGTATTCTGTGCTGCAGCACTGGAACTGCCAGGTGTTGCCCCAGATTCCTCATAGTCCAGCCACCTGCCACACATGCGTGTACTATCGTGTACCCATCCTCTAAACCGCCAGGTACATTCGACCGTCGGTCCAACTTGGTAGAGGCTGAGCTGCCTTGCCGTGGCAAGGCAAAGACAACAGGGCAGGACCCAGCGTCTCATGGCCATAAGGGGCGGAGGCTGAGTCCGCCTTCCAAAATTTGAGATGTCAATGTGACACCAAAGTTGCTGACAGATCCTTGCGTTTGCTAGTGAAGCTGATGCCAGATGCTTGGGAAATTGCTGCAGCAATTCAGTCTTGGATGCATGCGCAGAAACGTGCAGCTGCAATGCAACCCGCCAAGTATGCTTCTTATCGTAAATTCGAAACTCAGCTGCAGCGCCTAGAAGCCTGCACAGCCAAGGACTTCTTGTGGCACTAAGCAGACGAGCATGGTGTACCCAGGGATTCAGTTGCCAAAGGTAGGGCTCTGCTCACATTCGCTCACACGACCTTTCTACTTCTAGCCGATGCTGAGTCGGGAAACTGGTGTGGTGCAAATGTTGGCAGGTGGTCGCAGATCACACTGCTGCCAGTGATGGGCCTGAAGCCCTGAATCGCATGTTTTGCCAGGGACTCCATGCATGTGGCCCTTGTCGCGCCTAAAGCCACACCCAAATATGTCTTCGCACAGGCAGCTGAGTCCAGGACACCACTCTGCCCCTTGAGGCGCCTCAGCATCTTGGAACTCGTTAACTCAGGCTTCAGCCTGCCAAGCTCGAGCTGCAGGGATCTGCGTGCTATCTGTTGAACGTCCGGGACAAGCCCGAAGCGTCGACATGGCACAGGGAGCCTATGCAGCTTCTCTTTAGCCGGCTCAAGGCCATGAAAACAACCCAGCCTGCCTAGCGCAACAGGGCAGAGCCCCAGGCCGCTCAATCTCTCCAGCAAGCTGGGCAATAGGTGCCGTGTAGCCCTCGGATGCATCGTCGCTGGCTACCGTACTGTGCCTCGCCCTGCCTCACTTCACTCGCTTCCAGGCTACCGACACCAAGAAACAGTCAACCTTCAAACAACTTCCCAAGCTCTTCACAAGGATGTCTAATTGGCGATTTGTGGGTTCCACTGCCTTCTATCTACAGCACGTAACCTCCAAACGCCTTCGGCTCAAGAGGACCTACCTTGAGCCCTGAGCTTGTCGTTGTGCTTTGCTGCTGCTGTCTGACTGGACGCTCTGGTGGCCAACCGAGTTCTGCTTGAGCAGCGAGGTTTGAAGACTGCCGGCAGACAGGATCAACTCCCCTTGAAGAGGCTTCCATGCTACTTGCAGTTTTGTCTAGTTCCTTGGCGATTGCCACTCTCACTCTGCCAAGTACGATCAGGCGCGTTGTTTCTGGGGGGGAGTTCTCACGATGATTAGTTCCATAAACAGTCTTAGTATTGCTATACTGGTAGCCTTCGTTGCTTTTCTTGCGGTGGTTACTACGGTTTTGTGTGGTATTGTCTTAACTCTGCTTAGTCTTCCGGTTGGAATCAAGCACCCTCGGGGTCCGGCGGCGATAGCAGGAACATCTTCACCCTCTGCTTCGCTGCCCAAGAGCTCCTCACACAAGCTGTTTTAATGCCAAGGACAACCAAGCGAAGGGGTTTGTGTTTGTGTTTAATGGATCTTTGTCCTCGCCGCGAACCACTGCACCGGTATTTGAAGTATAATTCTTAAGCCGCAATCGTTGGTGCCCATCCGGTCCAGCAGAAGCAGTGCCAAAGTCAGCTTCTCGTGGCAGGCGGCCTCCCAGCCACCAGCCTGCCACTGCCACTTTCGCGGTAATTTGCTGACAAAGGGATGCACAGGGGCGAGCACGAAAGGTTTCTACCATTTCGACGGTAGTCGATTGGAGACAAGCATGTTCTTAAGTCTTATGGCGCTCCCACGTAGTGGTCTTGATAACAATGGTACAGCGTTGAGGCTGTGTAAACTGGCAGTGGACCAGCCTTCCGTGTTCTGTATTGTTTTCATACGAGCAAGCACCTCAGCGGTGAACCCACCTCTGCAGTGCCAAACCACACAACAACTGAGCTACATTCTGTGGGAGGTTTGCCAACAACCGACTCGAATCGGTCTTTCGCAGCCAGCCGCTTTGTTCGTTGGCTCAATCCGGGCCACTGCATCCTAGGATGCTACCGCGTTCTCCGGGGCCCGTGTTGGCACGTGCATTCTGAATTACTTGGCAATCTTTGCGCCGTCGATTGGCCAACTGCAAGCCAGTTTTCAAAGCGACTGAGAGCACAGCATGAGTATGTTCCCCTGGCAGCAAAAGCACAGCTATTGTCAGCATGGTTCACTACCGCCCATCATGTCTAACAAGCGCCAGAGCTCCTCGCCCTCAAGCTTCGGTCGTGAGCCGCGTGAAAAATTAACCGCATGCCATGCACTGTTCGTCCACAGTATTGTGACGGATAGGCCACTGGTGAGCTCGTCGGCATTGCATGAGAAAGCAAGATACGCGTGTGTGCTCGTGCATTATGACTCCATATAGCAATAGCAACTTGTAAAACAAACACAAGCCGTCAAGCAGAAGCATGTACACACCATCATCGTTCTCACAACTGCTGCCGATGAGCTTGGTATAATGGTCTGTACAAGTTGCAGGGCCAATCAGACCTCACAGCTCCTGATTAATGTCACCATTGGGGCCTCAAGAAGCGAAAGAAGCTTTTCAAAAGTGGCAGAGCAAGGGCTTTAATTTTGGGTCTGGCAGAGGAAGCCTCCAGAGTACCACCTCGAACATGTTTGCCGCCAGTCTCGTTTGCTTGAATCTCCACATTGAGCCCAGAGTTCACAGGCAGTGTGGGTTAACCTCAGGCTTGCGTGCAAAGCGATGAGGCCACGGTGCAGAGTCTTTGGTCTCAGGCTGCAGCCTATGACATTGAGCTGCCGACTCAAGGCACTGAACCCATTGGATCATCCCTCGCTGCTTGTCAACACCTCGCTGATTTTGCCAGAGGCCGAAAACATCTCGCCACAAGCTCTGAGCGCTGCACGAGGGACGAGATCGTTTGCGGGCTGAACAATCGCGAAGGTAGATTGGAGGTCTGCCCTGAAGCGAAGCTGGGACCCAGTGCACGCTGCCAGTTCTGTCACACACGGCCACCACTCGGCCAAGGCACAGCGTCAGGTCGAACTTTTGGACCTCCGCAGAGGGGTTCAACAGAAGTTCATGAAAGAAACGCAGCGAGGCCTGGTAGTACAACCCGGGCGGTGAGAAGCCAATGCCGTCAACTCCATGAGCAGCCGAGGCTGCACCAACCAATGCACCTGATACTTCACACCAGTTTATTTCGACGCACAACGAGGAAGCCAAGAAGCCGATCGACACTGAATCAACACATACGGACTCCTCTCAACACCGAAGCTCACCCGATAACTGTGAGTCTCCAACATCTTTGAACTGTCCTAAACCCTAAACCCTGAACCCTAAATCCTAAACCCCAAACATCTTCGAACCGTCTGAGCTGCCTCCGAGGCTGTGCCCAGTCAACAACAGCTTCTGCCCTGCAGCTGTTGATTCGGCCAAGTGCCTGTCAGAAGCGGAAAGAGGGCGCTGAGGGGCTCTCAGAGGTTTAGCAGGGATTCGACTCTCTGCTCAAAGAGTGTGATTTACACTCTCACAACTCGGACAAGCCAGGCGAGGATCCATAGGTGCATAAGTCGGTGTGATTTGTGTGATTTAGGGTTCAGGGTTTATTTAGGGGTCATGTAGAAATGGAGCAACTAGCACTCCTTCCCCCGAACGAGCCTGACGAGGCTGATGCTGTGTCGTCCATGAGCTGTCCCTCTGCTTTCATTTTGACAGGTCATCTTCTGTGTTTAGCCTTGCTTTCGGGAGGTGGAGACAACTTGTGTGTTTGCCCCAATGCTGAGGAATGACGGATGCCTGCCGTCACCGCCAGTTCGAGCTCTCCTAGAAAGTACACGGGCCCTCCACACAGCCCAAGACCCTCGCGGTCAGGACATTCTTGTCACTTCTCGCTATTCAAAAGACAAGTCGTCATCCGTCATTAGACCCGATGGAAGTGTTGCCACGACCACCTTTGTACTGCATTGCAAAGCACCTCGCTCTGGTGCGTATGCACGCGACTGCGTGACAGTGTCACGCCGTGCCTCTTCACCGCTCTGTTGAGCGCCAATGCCACGTGATGGTGCCGGAAGATTGCCCGGCTTAGTCGACCACTCATCATCCTGAGAACTCGAACAACGCCTAGTTAAAGTCCCTACAGTTCAAGCACACCTTCTTGTGAGCACATGCGTGCTGAAGCCATCACTGTCACTTGTCACTGGGCAGTTGGAAATTCCTCCCCTTCCCATCTCAGCTCCAGCTACTTTTTCCGGCACCATTTCTCACCCGACACCTTCTTCTCAACATGCCGCAGTCCTGCTACCAGTATCTGAAGCAGCTGAGGCAGTTCCACTCAGTCTATGCAGTTATGGTGCGTTTGCGTCACGCCCGTCGGCATGAGAGCCAGGACAGGCCTGTAAGAAAGCATTCAGCACGAAAGGATGTCAGCAGGATTGCGCAGAGTGACCAACTACCCCTCGGTACAGGCTCTCAAAGACAGCAATGAACGTCATCTTAACAACTTCAGTAATTTCGTGCAAAGTTTGCACTACCTTATTGTGCTGTATGACGACGAAGAAGTCTATCAGGTACTATCAGCTCATGTTCGAAGGGCGCTAGTTGCTTCCAGGTCGCGTAAACACGCTCATCATCTGGAGGACCTTGCACGCAGTCGTTTCATGCAGTCGGTTTTCGAAGGTTTGGCATCTCAGGGTGCAGCGGCTACTCCAGAGTAGACCTTCAGGTCAGCATACCTCTGCACAAGAGAATCTGTGCCGTTGCCAGAAGGCTTGTGAAACTATTTAAAACTCTTTCATAACCGCAAAGAGATAGAAGGCAACGACTTGTTTCACACCGTTCTCCACGCAGACAACATTGGCTAAAGCAAAAACGTCTTCAACCGATTCCTCAAATACAGTTGACATGCCGTGTTGACTTCATCTTTTCTTGCTTTGTCTGTGCTGACAGAGCTACGCATCTTGGACATTGGACGTCCCCCTGACTGAGACAACACGCAGCTTCAGGGCCGGAAAAGACACCACGATCCAGCGTCCAACCGTCCTGGAGAATGACAGGCACGTGCACATCTACACCAACGCATTACCTACACATCTACAAGCAAGCTAGCAGCTAGCATACTAGACTGGACATGATTGCGGAAGTCCTCGGGCTCTCCACCTGGCCATGGCAAACAACGCCCCATGCACTGCTGCAGTCTTAGGTTTGGCCTATCCTTGGCATCCCACCTGCTCTAGACAAACCCTACAACCCTCCAAGCAAACAAGCCCTGCAGTAGCCTACACTTAGTTTAGACCCCCATGAGAAACAGCCGACACTGTGCCAAGTCCAAGTCACTTCTAGGAGTTCCCAGTTGTCCAAGTGCGTTCCATTGAGCATGTCTCCCAAGCCTCGCCTCAGACAAGCTGGCATCATTTTTTTTTTTTTTGGGCGGGGGGTCCGTTGGGCTTCGGAGGGCATCGACTTGAAGAGGCGATTGCGCAAAACACAACAGGGAGCCTAAGTAAAGAAGGACGGCCTTTGACCGGTGCAGGGGACAAGACCCCGGCCTCACGTCTGCCTCATCAAAGAAAGAACTGGCATATGCCAGGACGGAAAGGTCCAAGATGTTCAGGCCACGCTCCTCAGGAGGATCCTCAGTAAGCACTCCCTTGCGTAACCCGAAACACCCGAAACCCAAACCCTCCTTACCGTACGGACTGGACCTCCAGAAGCCCCCAGTCCGATGATTCTCGCAGCAAGAATCGGTTGGGGTGCCGGGGTATCGCCACACGGATGAGCAAATCGGATAACCTGCCCGTCTTCAGCTCCACTGTGTCACGTTGGGAAACATGATATGCAGACTTCTTGGGCTCTGCGACAACACGTCGGAGCCTAAGTGCGGAGATCCTGCTGACACCGTGAAATTCTGTGGCAGGTCGTTGAACGACCCTCCCTTGGCCCCATAGCCAGGTGCCATCGGTCCTGGCAGGAGAGCTCGAGGGGCTCTCTAAGCTCAAGCCGCCATAGGGGGGTTTCCGAAAATAGGGGACCCTAATATGGTACCCTAAATAATAGGATCCTTATTGTAAGGACCCCCAAATAAGGTACCCTAATGTTCGGAAACTCCCATAGCGACCCAAGACCGTAAGTCACGCAAGCAGGGTGTCCTAGCGCAAGCGGCTCTAAGAGCTGCCCTCCCCTTCGACCCACGCTGGCGCTTGCCAGTGTGCCCATGAGGAGGCCAACCTGGTGACATGTGGATCGGTCTGTTCCCCACTTGTAACAAGACCCCGCAAAGTCCTAGTCCTAGAGGATTCTTCGTGCAACTTGGTGGCAGTCAGAAGGATGAAGAACCTGCATTCAATCGTAGCAAAGAGAAAAAAACATTGTATTGCAATGGCTCGAAACTATTGAATCAACCCGAACATCCTCCGTAAACTATATTTACTGACGCGCATGTGTCATCTTCATGATCCGCCTTGTTGGGATTGACTTGCGGCCAAGCTACGCAAAAGTGATCCAGAATGCCTTGCCCAACAAACGGGGCGCATACTGCCGTACAGAGAGGGCCCAGAAGATGGTCGCCAGTAGCCTCAATATGTTCGAAACGTCCACGTTAATCCGCATGCCACTTTGCGGTGTCACTGTTGCCATTGTTCACCCGACACAGAATGCTTGGATGTGGCGATTAGTTCAGGATCCGACTGGAAGACCCGGAGGGATGACTTCCAGCAAGCTACGAACAACAAGGTCGCCCCCTGCGAACCGCGCGGGCATTGCCTTGTCCCCAAGCACCAAAAATGCCGCGAAGGAACTGCCCGATAAACACCTCAGCTGATTAGCTGGCTCCTAGTTGTTAGCCACGAAGCCACCCGCAGGAGAACAAACAAGCCGTTTAGCCGCCTGCCACTTAGCACATTGATCGATCTGTTTGCTTGCCCACTTAGCTGTTGGCTGAGAACACCTTTTCATAAGTAGTTCTCTAAATTAGGGCCCCTTTTAGTATCCTTTTCATCTGCAGAGGGGTCTGCGGATCAGCGAGTTTGCCAATATAGGTGCTCGATCTGCGCGTTGTGCTAAGCGGAGGTGACGGTGTTTACTTGGCTTGTACCCTGAAGCGTGACCTCTGTGGGAAGAGCTGGGCTGAACAAAGCTGTCGCGAAGATGGCAAGCTGTCTTGCCCTTATGCCTGTGGGCAAGACTCTGCTCGGTGGATGCAGATGGCGGGCCTGCCTAGCGGTTGCTTTGTTCGGAAGCAAACACGCCCTCCTGCTTTATCTGGGCCTTTTCGGTCGTCATCGCGTCGTGGTTGGCATTTTGGGCTGTTGTCGCACTGTGTTGTTGTGGCTGACTCTTTTCAGCCTTCATGCTGGAGGTGTCGGAAGTTTGTTAGGCCAGGCGTGCGTCGTCGGCCAGCCACATTCCTCGATCGATGCCCGATCTCTTACTCATCTTCACAAAACTTGCAGCAGCGGCTGCTCGACGTGCACAAAGGCTTGTGAAGCCAGCCCAGGCGCAGTAAAGAAGTCATGCAAGATGATGAAGAGGATTACTACCTTAGAGCTCCGATAAGACAAACGTTCTAGGCAAAGAGCAGCTGTTGAGGAAAGGTGCAAGGACTTCCAGGGACAAGCCGACCAGGAAGTACAGCACTGATCCTCAGCTCCCATAAACACAGCACGAGCTTGAAGATATGCAGTGCACCTAACATCACCTAACACAACCTCGCGAGTATGGACTACCGTGCTCAAAATTGTAAAAGACGTGACCACTTAGACCCATGCAGGAAACTTGACATGACTCCGAGGTTTCAACCGGTGTGGGTGTGCTAGCATGGCCCCTTTACCATTTCGACTCAGGGCACTGAGACTAATGCAGCGTCGACTCTTCCCCAGTGAGGCCGCGCATCGACCACAGGCTTCTCTGGTCTCTTGTTTACCCGCTTGAACCTTCCAAGAGGACCTGATGCCAGCATGTGTCAGGATGCGGGGCGATTTGTCCTCTGCGAGCGCTCCTCGAAACTTCTTCCTGCCGGGTGGCCCATATTATGATATGTGATCGCCATCATTTCGTCCCTTTCGGGATTGTGGCCAACGTAGATGTGACAGAGGATGTACGTAATGCAAACCCTTAGCTGCGTCAGACCGTCAGGTGTGCACTTGCGTGATCAGTATCAGCAGAATCCTGCACCATGCGAAGTACCGCCGGTTACATTCAACTCAGGAATGCAAGTCTGCAGGGATGAGACCAAGACAACATAGCGAAAACAAGGCCACCAAGACAGTAGCCACGGGCAAAGTCCTGTCAGCATCTGGCAGTGGCGCGTGCTACAGTGTATAACTGCACGAAGCTCTGTTGCGGCCTTGTACCAGTACGCCTTTATGTCCGCGAAGACTACAGTCACTATGGCGAAGATGATCGGTAACCTGACATGCGCGCATCCGATCTACCCGAATTCCTTTCGGTGGCATACGATCAACCAGCAGTCGCTCCAAGAAAGTCTCAGAGAGCGCAGCTTCCTCAATGGTGAATGGCCAGGCCGAGCAACGACTCCAGGGCAACGATCAACGTTCGTTCCTGACGGCCGAGGCAGCCGTATGTTTGCATTGCCACAAATATGAGAAGAGAAGCTCTCTGACGCCGAGCGGCAATGTGGTCGGTTTGGACCCTGTCAGAGATCGCCTTCAAGCCAACGGTAACCGTTGCCCTGGCAGGTGGAGCAGCCACAACTGAAGGCTGTGGAAACGACACCAAGAGCCTTTATTGAGGGGATGTCTTGCCATTTAGGATGTAGTTAGATGCGGGCAGAAGCGCTTTTCACTGTTACTGCTCCCGTGGTTCATGCCATGCCAAGGCTGTCCAGCTGGGGAGTAGGTGCTGCGGTGCCTGAACAATCCGAAAGACGGCCGATCGGCCGCATCCAGCCTCAAATGAAACCGGGAGTGCCAGCCGTTGCTAGGCAGCGGAGAGACTATTGAGCTGCTACTCAGAATACGATAACCTGTAGTACTGTAGCTGCAAGAAGGATCTGTTTAACAATAATCGCTGTGCAGGCACCCTTGAACCGACTGGCGACCCTATTGGTGGGAGTCAGTATCGCCTTGACCGCACTTGCCACCCGAACCATGTCTAACTGCAGCAGTCATGTCTGTCCGGTCTTTTTTGCCTCCTACATAGTCTGTCCGAAATTAATACAGATGGCTCATGGCTCTCTTGGGCAGCAGTCCAGAGTTCAGCACCGAGCAGCCCCATGTCAATACACTCGTCCACGTAGATCGCACTCACCAGCAAAAATGCTGGAACGAACCTTGTTATCACAGGGGTCCCCACACCCCCTAACAAACCTCCAGCTTGTCTTGGCGTGGCAAGGAGTACGGGGTGCTTTCTTTGCAGCCATGTCTCACACACGCGAACACCACCTCGTCATTCCAGACATGGACTACCGAAGCTCACAATCCAAAATTGTTCCGACCGAATTTCAAAGTGCAGCCGAGAGTCTCCGGCTGACAGGCCCTGAGGCAGAGATGAGAAAAACACGTGTCGGGTGCGAAATCTCAGGTTCACCACATGACTGGTGCAAAGCTGGAACGAGCTCTTGTGCCTGCGATGGTGGTGTTGCCAGCAGGGCGAAGAAACATTCAGTTGTGGAGCCCAGGGCAACTGCCAGCACAATGGCGAGGGAGAAGAACCTTAAGGGATCTACTGCCGAAGGAGGTTCCTCCAACTCCTGGATGGACACATCAATCTCCATACTGCGAATCGGGCACACAAAGAATATACATCTCAGCCGCACGGTGGTCTCATACCAGTACCTTGAGGCCAACACCATAGTGACATAATCATACCTAGGCCTGTGAGTTCTTTGAGTTGGCCACGGCGCTTGCAGAGTCAACAACTCAAGTCAATCAACTTCGGGTATCGCACACTGTATTGTAAGTGCAGCCCGGGGGCTTGTGCATGCCTGAGTTCAAGCACCGGTAGCTGATAAGGTGGGCCATGAGTGCCAACATCAGAGATTGAAGCTTGTGAAACTTGCCGTGGCAACCGCGGAGATCTTCATGCGCATGCTTTAGATGCAAACCAGCTGCTGTCGTCAGGATGCAGTTGACTGGTGCTGCCGTCACGAGTCGCGATCTCGAAGGGCAATGGTTGCAATCGCGACATGCCAACAATTCACAACAGCCATGCTGTGAAGACAGCTGCTCGGGAACCTTCGGTGTAGACTCGCTGTCCTCCTCGCTGTCTTCGACGTCATCGCTGGTTCCGTTCTCCCCGCCTCGGGTACAGGTTGCGCCTATGTCTCGGTGTCAAGTCCCGTCGACAGAACTACGGGGATGAGCAGGGTCAGTGAATCTTATGAGTGCTTATCTGCGAAGATCAGGTGTAGCCCGTCCAGGACACGAGGCTCGAAATCTCACTAGATTCATCAGAGCTTGCAGCTTCAGGATGCTGACACCTTTCCATGCCTGAATGCTCGCACTGTGGAGCTTCGAAACTCTGCAAAGGATTGGTGCCCTGCAGTCTCAAGGCCAAAGCACCCTGCGACTCCAGGTCTTCTGCATTGTAGCCTCGACAGCAAGAAGAACAACTGGAGCACACAGGATCAGAGCCGTCACTGCTGCGTCTCTAGCGCTTTGCACAGAACATGATTTAGAGTCGAAGCTGGTGTGGCCTCTTCGCTGCGGCGACATAGTGCCAGCCCTGCCAGCCTCCATTACCTCAGATTTCCAGCTCTTCTGTCTGCTTAGTTCTGGTGACAGCCGCTTCGCAGAAACAAATGCCTGCCTGTGCCCGGAGATCTCCAAGCAGGATTGCGGAAGCTAGGTGCCCCTGTCCCCTCCTCTGTAAAATGTTAACAGCTGCAAGCAGGAGCAGCGAGCATCCCATAATCAGCAATCAGGAGCCTACGAATCTTCCTTGCAGCCGTGGCCTGCCTCGTGGCCCTTAGAAAGGACGACCTCGGTTGTTGAATCCACCGATTCCCCTGTTTGTTTTGGGAAACCTCTTGGAGGAGCAGGCCGCCGCATCTTTCGCGTGCTGCACTGCGGACCTGGCAATGACTGGACGGTTCAGGGTGTTTTTTGTCACCTCTTTTCCAGCTGCCTTGTTAAGTTAGGTCGAATGCCAATTTGGCTGAGGCTTTGGACTACCACGTTCGTGCTGACCCCTCTCTGGACGGTTCAGGGTTTGGGGTTTAGGGTATAGGGCTTTCAACTTTCTTGGCCTTCAGCCGCATACGCACAAACACTGGCTGAGATGGTGACTCGAAAATTGCACGGTTCGGTTGGGATGTAGACCTCGTGAACCAATCTCTGCGTGGTTCGAGTCCTATAGCACGGGAAGCCCCAACTCGGCTCCGTACTCTGTGGAAATAGCTGCTCTCAATTGCTTTTCGACCTGTGCGAAGATACAGCATTGTGACAGGGAGCCACCGGTTTAAACCTGGATTTCGCCTCCTCAGCAGACGCCAATGTCCGCGAGAAGTCACTACGCCTGGCGCAGAGAAATGCCAGGCAAGGGAGGGCCGAGTACGAGAGTCCAAACGCCAGGTATAAGTTTGGTTTTATCGCCCTGGATTCTTCTCCCGGTTGGGCACGAAGAACTGCAGCAGAATGAGCTTCCGGCAGTGGTGCGCCCATCTGCTCATCATCCAAAGACACTTTCAGAGCCTCAGCAGGTTCCGCAGCAAGAGCAGTCGGGCAGTCAAGAACAGATCAAGGTCAACACCTTTTCGAGGAGTGCCAGAGCCTGGGTCTGCAGCCGCAGGGCAGCTTAGCATACCCGGCTCTCGCAACGCGAAACTCAAGGCGAGGCCGTTCGGGTTTTGGCGGGGGATATTCACGTTGAGCTACGGCTTTGGAGGTCTGTCTACCTAGACCATCCAGACGAGGGTCTTATGCTATTTTCTTGGCCCAAGTTCAGCCCTACGCAGACTTTCAAAAGGACTCCGAGGTTGCCGCGCGCAGGAGGAGCGACAGCGCTTCCACAGGGGCATGTTCTGCAAGCCTGTCAGGGCTGTTCGGTGCCTTGAGAAGTCTGTACAGTTCGATTTAAGCCCTATCCTAGAATCTTAACAACTTCTACCAGACATGTCTGTCTCTTTGTCTTCTGGTGGCCTCAGTCTCAGTCTGTGGCACACACCCTCAGCTCACCCCAAGCCGTAGGCTGGCCGAAGCGTCTGCTTTTTCGTCGCACATGGTCAGATTCAAAGTGGGACCTTCTGTCCTGTGCTGTCTGGGCAGTCGGCTGATATTCAGTTTACAGTGCAAGGCACAAAATCCACCATGAACTGGTGCCTGTCCGTCAAATCTGGAAGTGGGCGCAAGCAGCATGTTCGGCTGCTCACGAGCCTAGGGGCCTAGAAGCCTGCATGCATCCGGCCCTATCTCCAAACTTATGCACTTCTTTAACTTGTACCTTGCAAATCAAGTCTTGCTGGACCAGACTTGTGAGCCACTCGGCCCTGCGGCATGCAGAGGATTGAGCCTTTGTGGCCGTAACCATGCCGCCCCTTCGACAAGCGGCTCTGATGCCACTCAGCTTCCAGACCTGCCTCAGATTCACAAGAAGGATGGTTCAAATCCCAGCTCCGACAAGGCAACATCGACGAAGTGTTTGTCTAGCCGTGCAGGCACTGATTGCGGCTTCCGGACCTTGGACGGCGGCTTAGTACCTGTACTTCGTACAGTAGTCCTGCGCGGGGCATCGCATGAACTGCTGTGCAATCTGACCCCGAGCAAAATTTGAGCTAGAGCGTAGCCAGATCATGTGCCACGTCCTTTGGGGACATCACCAGACCTCTGCCCTTGCGGGCGCCACGGTAGATAGTCTCCACGATGTCAATGAACTCCTGCCGAGCACGGTCAAGCAGCCGTTGAATTCCTTCGAAGCTCGTTGGTTGTACAGCACATGTGACCTCGTCACCCCGAGAAACAAAAAAGCCAACCCATGCCTGCTTGTCATTCATGGCCCAGTTCACCTTGTTGTTGTTACCTGAAGACGACAGCACGGCGAAGCCCCTGATGCAAGTAGATGCAGAAGCCACACCTGTTCCCAAGTCGATCATCATGTGCTTGTTTCGGAAGAAGAACATAACTGTGACAGGGTCATACAGCCTTGGTGGCCACAAGCTGCTGAACGGACAAAGTGCGAGTGCAAGCAGGCTCGAACAAGTGTGCACCATGCAAAAACTCCCGACCAGGGCACTCGTACATGGTGTTGAAATCCGGTACTTCCTTCACATCCACAAGGTAGATGATGGCGAAGCTCTTGATCTTCTCCTTGTCTAGCCGAGTTCTTCACACTATCACTTCAAAACTCTGCCCTCTTGCAGGTGAGTTGCAGCTACAGAATACAGGATCTCATCCATCCTTGACAGAGCCATCGTGCAAGAGTAAGGGAAAGAGCCCATGCCAACTTGCAACGGCCAAGAGTCTTCATGCACTCCGAGTCATAGTCGTGCCCAAAGCGAATGATCACCAGACGTTCCTCTTCACCTGGGCTTCTCAGAGGTAGCAGCGACCATTTCCCCACGTACAGGATCCTCCGCACCTCACGTAACTTACTGTGCCCCTCAGTGGCCCCTCTGCTTCACAAAAAAGCCCCCCTAGCCACAGGTACCCCTGCAGTCCTGGGAACCCCTCTATAAAGTAAGATCCTTGCCATAAAGGCTTATTAAAGCAAAAGGTATCACTGCTCGGGACACACCCCTGATGTTGCCAAGGCTCTTAGGATGGCCTGGTCCACAGCCCAGCCCGAGTGAAGATGCGGAAGCATGAACGACATGGCGGCAACAGGAAGACCTTCGCCAATGGCCGCTCCGGGGTTGAGGGCCTTAAGGTTGTTAGGGATGATGTAAAAGTTTCAAGAGGCTCAAAAGCTTGGAGACCGCGTAGAACCACGTCAAGCAAGTTCCTGCTCGCGCGGCACATTGCAACCGAGCAGCGGGGGCCGCAGCACAAAGTGAAAGTAGAAGGGCTTGATCCCACAAAGCTATGGATTCCCGAGACATCCCACGGGTGCAGCCAGGAATAAGCAGTGCAACATGACCCTAAACCCTAAACCCTGCACCCTTTTTTACACCTGGACTCTGCATATGCCCATGACCCCAAACCCGAAACCCTAAACCCTAAGAGACCCGTGCTCTGCAATCCCAACCCCAACTGAGCTGAGCCTCATGGCAAGCTGCTCCAATGCGCGGGCGATTCGACTCAAGTTGCTGCCTCAGCGGGCCGTCTCTGGCTCGCATCAGATTAGATCAGCTCTGAGATCCATGGAAAATCCGATATGGGAGTTCCCGAAAATAAGTAATAAGGGGTACCTTATTTTGGGGTCCCTTATAATAAGGATTTTACTACTTAGGGCACTACTTTAGGGTCCTCTCTCTCCGAAAACCCCCATATCATATTCAGTCATGAACACATCCGTCGCACGCACACACACACACACACACACCCACACACACACACACACACACCTCGCGACCTAGGCATCCCTGGACAAAACGATGGGAGCCGGACAAAATCCGCTTGCTGCCTCATGGCGTGCCCACGACTTGCTCAATTCGGCAGCCAAGCAAAGCAAAACCCTGCTTGCCTCAGTGAGCTCCACTGCAAGGAACTATGTAGAAACTCGAAATTCCGCCGAGAAGCAGCTGCTGGTGTAGGGCCTTTTCCACGGGCGAAAGAGGTTGGGGTGTTGGAGGTCACGACCACCTGGCACGGTGCAGCGGTGTCGCCATGAGCCAGGGGTTCGCTCCACGGGCATTCTCACTTTGAGCTAACCCAACCCGAGGTCCAGGATCTTCAAATGGTGTGGAGGTCTAGGCCCGAGTTGAGTCGAAATGCCGCTGAGGAAAGGATGCGGCGAGACTCGCAGCGGGAGGCTGCTTGAGCTCGGGCTTTCGGTTTTTTCAGTTTAGCCTCGTGGGCATTTTGATTCGTTACGCTCTGTAACACGACGCCAGCAAAGGTGTCTCAATGCACGGCAGACGCAGACTGAAGTTTTGCAAAATGAAATTCAGATGCACTGAAAACTCGGTGACAACTGCCATTGTTCTTATGGCACCCCCTTGAATAGGTCTGCAATTAACCTACCAGTCGATCAGCCTAGTAAATGCAACAACGACCGACTGCTGGACCCACTGCGGATTTGCAGAAAATGCAGAAGGCAGGCGCAGACAGAATCAGCCGAGTCATGAGCACGTGACAGACCTAGAACCGGCGTAGGCTTCTAGGAAAACATGTCGAGGTGGCATACTCTTCATCCACGCTTCCATTCCTCCGCAAACTGCAATGGTTGGGCTCAAATCTCAGAAGTTTCCACGCTCGTGCCTCCGAATCCGAAAATAGTTCGGAGCTGCAGCTGGAGCCTTCCAATTCTGATTACCCATTGCGCCAGAGGAGACGGCCGCAGAAGACAAAGTGTGACAGCATCAATTCATCAATGTGGATTCCCAGCAGCCTCCTCGCGGGCAGCGTCCTGCGGAGCGAACAGGAGCATCTGGGGTTTGTGTATGAGCACGTCTCTGCTTGGGCTCCTTTGGACGCTCTCGGCATGCTTCCGCAATGACCTGCCGTGAGGCAAACAAGTATTCAGCCGTGTGGGAAGGTCCGGAAAGCTGGCCAAATCAAAAGCAGTCACACTCTCGAGTGCTACGGCAAATTCTTGCAGCTGTGCCTGGGCCATGAAAGGTGAAACCTGCCGGCGAACGCTGATGGCAAGTTGGCTCAACCAACAGTGGTTCACAATCCAATCCGCGTAACACAGAGTTGCAGAAACCACGTCTAATCGAAAGACGCCAACAGTCCCCTGTGATCCTTCGGCAACTAATCAGAAGCAAAGTCAGTCGTAGGGCATCTCCTACTGTAATTGGTGGAGAACGGTGGAAACCTGGAGCGTTCTTGCGGAGTCCTATTTACCGTGCAGGGTTGTGCCAGCACGTGAGGGGCTTGTGATGGCCTTGCCAGACATTGCATCTGAGCCAGATTGTCCAGACGTGCCAGGCACTCCCTGGGGCGGGCGTTGCATCAGCAGTGGCTTCCTGAGAAGGATCTGAGGAGGCCGCCCGAGTCTCGGAATGAGGTCTTGCCGCCTCAATGAACAAGTACCGGGACCAGAGCCCCTAAACCCAAAACCCTAAACCCTTCAATTAACCTGGCCAGGATGCCTCCGATGCAGAGAGCTCTTCGACCTTCTGCCCCAAAGCAGCAGAAAGAAAAAAAAAGGCCGAAGCCAGAGTGCTCCCCCTGCCTTCTTCACGGGATCGCTGCCTTCGCCAGGCGTCGCGTCTCGGAAGAGAAGCCCTAAACCCTAAACCCTACACCCTTTTTTGAACCCAGTCTCTGATCCCTAAACCCTAAACCCTAAACCCCGAAGGCGAAATCTGAGGCCCTCTCTGGGCATTTCCCCAATTTGCCCACGGCTGAGCTCCTGGCCTTGGCCACTGGCGCTGCCTCCACGCAGAGCAGCCGCTTTTCGCTTTATTATTATTATTATTATCATTATTAGTATTACTGTTATTATGATTCTTATTAGCATTATTCTTATTAGTATTATTGTTGTTATTATGATTGTTGTTCTGCTCTTGTCTTCGCTGCTCTGAGGATGCCCCGTGTCTCGTTTGCATCTTCGAGCTGAGTCGAGGACTGCTGGCTGTGACGAAGCCTCCATGCGCCTCCACTGCGTCTCTGGGGCCTGGCTTACAACAGCATGCGTTCCCGAACAGCTCAGCCTTATCAGAGGAATCGATCGGTCTGAGGGTCAAGCTCTCCTCTGGGGAGTGGCACGACAGAGGCGATGCCTTCACAAGGCCGAAATCTGAAATGCACTTCCAGAGACCGATCAGGCCATGAAACTCCGACTCTTCACGGATCTTCCTTCTCTTTAAGAGACCGGCCAGAATCGGCGATGCCGGTGAAGCTGCGCCCGATTTGGGGAGGCCATCCTTCACTGCCGAGCTTGTGGCCCGGATCTGTCATGATCGAAGCTTTCGGAGTTCTGCCTTAGGGTCGGAGACCCAATCCGTCATGATGAAGCTGCCTTCGGCAGCCATTTCCTCCTGGTGACGCACATCATGACACTCTCCCGAACTTCGCCGACACCCGACCAGGATCATGCGAGAAAAGGCCTGGTGTTCATTGCTTGGTGGACTTGGGCTTTCGTCAGTCACCTCGCATGTGAGCCAAGCTTCAGTTCGATCTACTCCAGGCGCATCCGAGGATGGCACCGATGCCTGCGGAGGCATTAGGGCCGTAGAAGAAAGACCTAAGCTTTCATCTGGTTCACCCGCGCGTGCCTCGCCGTGGCCTAGTTGGACTCGGCCCGAATATGGGCTGCTCCCACCAAGATCCCGGCGCACATAAGGATGCTGCATGAAGGCCTCTTCCAGATCAGCACAGATTTCGTCAGAACAGCAGTGGCCGTGTCTGCCTGGCTGGAGAGCCGCTGTTCCGCGTTGACGAGGAGCGCTCGGAGGAACTTCTGGCCTGACGAAGGGAAAGTGGCAGGCCGTCCCAGCACACCCTCGAAAGTCCAAGACGCCTTCTGGTGAGAGCTGCACGCCCTCGAAAGACAGCTCCGGGCTCTTCTCGATGTTTGCCTGGAATTGCTCTGAATCACCTCCTCCCTCTGCGCCCTGCGATGTGGAAGTTGAGCTCTTCTTTAAGCGCGGGGCCAGGAGCTGCATGGGATTGGCTCCCGAAAACGGCGTCCTTTTCAAGGCAGGGGCGATGGCAGCCGGTCACAGAGGAGTGATACCAAAAGACCAGTGAGCTGCTGCCTTCCCATGAGGAGCTCGAAGAGTATAGCACCGACCTCTACTCTCAGTGCTGCTCGAGAGCCCATCCGCATGCTAAGGTCCTAAAGCCTGAGACGTAGGCTGACCACAGATCTGCTTTCGCGTCATACGGCTCGTGGCCTCGAGTCATGAGGCTGAACGCTGCCCAAAATGGGGAAGCAAGGGCACAGTGGCCATCTGCGGCCCCTGCGTAGGATCTCTGGAGCCATGTACAAGGGTGACCCGCACACGGTGGCAGCCTCGAGTCAAAGTGGGCGAACTCCTGGGTTTCACACTAGAGCTCTGTGTTGATGTTCGGGGCAGGGGCCATATCTTGCGGAGGAAGTGCTCGGGCGAATCCGAAATCCGCGATTTTGAGCACCGGGTCCATCGAGCCTGTGAGTATGGTGCATGCTGGAGATATCGTAGACAGCTACAGCCGCAGAAAATATCTGCATGTAGCTTGCGCAGGTTCCGACGGTCCGAGCACCTGACTATCACTAAGTAAGATATTCTGCGGCTTCAAGTCGCGATGCAGCACGTTGACCTGGTGTAGCACCTGGGATGCAACGCTGTACGGAGCAGCAATCATAGTGTGCTTGCGCTATGGCAAAGGCACAAACCATACGTAGTCGTGGTCGACTACAGTGCGAAATCCTACTACGCCGATCGAGGCCATAGTGACTAGATTCGAACATGAGGGCCTGATGACCTCACACAAGTCAATCAGGGAGCTGCACGTGTATCCGCGAATAATTACCGCGCAACACGGCTCGACGAGGCATCTGGGCGTCTGGCAGAAAGCCCCTCTGCGATTTGGGTGAGAAACCGCCGTGCCGTCTGAGAAAGCCATCACGTGCCGATATCCATGCTGCATGACATGCGAGAGTGCCGCTTCGGATCTGGGTTTCGTACCTCCTCTTGAACTCGACCCTTCCTGCACAGAGCTGCGACATGAAGACTCGGTGTTGCCATTTCGGCTCTCGCAACTCCCACCAACTAGGCAAGGATTGCATTTTGAACTATTCCTTAGTCTTGGGGCTGGACTCTCGCAGGAATTGTGACAAGTCTCCACCAGCACAGTACCTGATCGAAAGGTGTGTAGTGCAAGCGGTTGGACGCCTAGACAGAGCTTGCGACACAGCCGATGGCGCACTCCAACACAAGGTAGAAGTGAGCGGCGCTTTTCTTCAGGTCCCGGAATCGCACCTTTCCGCGCATGGCATCGAGTCGGAAAAAGCAGAATTGTCGCCGACATGAGAGAACTGCAGCAAGGCAGCTATGTTCGGATGAGATATTTTGCGCAGGACCTGGCGTGTCGAGACATCATACCGGATCGCCACAGCATCCGGCGCAACAAAGGTGACGAGCATGGCCTCTACCTCTTGCCGCAGCTGCGCTGTTTCAGTCACTGTCTGGCGGCTGATGACCTAGGTGCAACACCACGAGTGGTGCTCTGCAACCATATCATGTCCGACTGCTCACGCAGCCTTGACGGCGACAGACTCGTTGCCTCAGTTTTTTCTTAAGGCTTGATGCCAGGCTCAAGCGGCAAGGCTTCCCAAGTGTCCACTTGCATTTTCTGTTTCAGGCAAGTCGCTGTCATCACGGCCTTTCCACACAGTGGCGTAGGAACCCTTGCCGATACGCCTGGCAATTTCAAGCTAGTGGTCTTCTTGTCTTCACTGGCCCTCCCGTCTGCCTCTCAAGGCTGTACCCTGCAACCTGCTTCCGGGTCATGGCGCCGGTCTTCTCTGCCAGACTGCCTGCGCTGTGGGCATTGCTAAACATGATGGTGGGATCGCTGCACAGCCATACCTTGAAAGCCCAGTCTTCAAACAAGACCATGGGGCAGAGCAGCTCCGGAGCACGGTGGACAGTAGTTAACTGGAGTCTGACTGCGAAAGCTGACGAGTTCTGATCTGAGGAGTCGGAGTGTCTCACCCTTTCAGCAAGCACAGCACCTGAAGCCGAAAACACGACACCGACGGGACAGATGCGTCCTTGACCATGCTCGAGTGCTTTTCAGCCTTTGACAACCAGCCAACACAGGCCACATCCAAAAAAAAACTTTCTGTGCCAACCTGTAGTATTGAATTACTGCATGATGTGTCCTTGCTGTCGTTGCACCAACGATGTTGTTGGCTAGCTGCTGTTGGCTAGCTGCTGGTGGTACTGGCTACTGTGGCCTTGGCGCACCAGATGAGGTAACGAAGTTTGGTAAGGGAGACACGAAAGGCGAGATTTGCCTAACGAATCCGAAGAGTGCTTCTCTTGCAAGCAATGACTTCAGGAAGGGACTGTGCTTGAGCCCCGAGCGTAGGTCCTAGGGCCCCACATCACTGCAAGCGATACTGCCGTGGCAAAACCCTCTATGTTACAAGCTAGAACTGCTTTGGTATCTCTGCGTCGACTGCGGACTCTAAGCCCAGGGGGGCGTACCCCTTTGTGCAATCTGGAGGGTTGTTCGGGTGTGTGCAGCATCAACAAGCTGATTGGCGTTTGAGGAAATCTACCACAATCCTTGTCGTTATCTTGCACTGAAATCTTACCATGTCCAAGCGGTGGTCGAGTGGGCTGCATGGTCCACCTCTACCGAAGCACAAGAGGCTCTACAAACGACAAGTCTTTTTCCCAGACTTGCAAGCTCTCCAGCCGATGCTGCTCCTGCAGAAGGGCCTCAGTATCCCTCATCGTTGAGTAGTTTGCCATACGTCGTCACGACGTGCAGGCACTTTCTCACGTCAGGCACCTTCCCAAAATTGAGCACCATCGCCTCTTTACCCCAACTGAGGAAGCACCATCCGTCTCCGTACTTGCCAGTAATGTGCTGATCGGAGGCGCCCACAACCACGTAACGGTTTCCTTCGATGGTCAGCACCGCGTTAACGCGTTTCCTCTCTTTGACGGCTGAGGCGATGCTCTTCGCCTCCTCGGCTGAGGGCCGGTCGCTTGCGCCAGTCATGCCCCAGACATCGCCATTGTATGCGATAATCAGAGGAAAGACCAAGCCAGCCAAAAGCATGGCTCATCGCCCAAAAAAGCCTGCACATGCTGCGGTCGACGACCTACCAAGTGGCACTGAGTGACACAAGAACCCCTATCCTCCCAGAAGAATTTCGCGGAGAATACTTCCGGATAAAACTTCTTCTCGGCCCGTCGAACGGAGAGAACCCGTCCAAATGAAACTTCTTCTCAGTCCGGGTGTCCGAAAGAATCCTTCCGGATGAAACTTCTTCCGCGGGGCCCGCGCGCGCCACAACGAACCGCCGCCTCTTGAGCTCTGACTGCTCCCATAGACTCCAATCGAGAGACCAGGGCAGGACACTGAAGATCCAGGGGCCATGTCCATCCAAGCCTCGCCGCCAAATTCGACTGCGGTCGCCGCTCCCAGTGACGACGGATGCCCGGACACGTCTCAAGCACATGATCCAGGAAGGGAGGTCCTTGACCACAGTGAGCACACACACCTGAGCGACAGCATCTGCAGCCGACACCGTGGTTATTTCAGTCTTGAAGCCACCGACTGGTCAACTTGTCATACAGTCTCCGCAGGCCAAGGATGGTATGAACATCAACCCTGAGACCTTCAGCACGTGCATTCTGGGCATCCCGTCGCGACGCTCCCACACCATACAATAGCTGACGATGTGTGTTGGCTGAAGCTCCTGGGAGGGTCACTTGCACCCCTATGCAGATCCAGGACCACGTCCTGCGCTGACGATCCCTGTGCCGAGAAGTCGAGACACTTCCTGAAACCCAAGCCTCGCCGCTGCCTCTCTGAAAACAGACGCTCTCGGACCCGAGATTGCACTCTCAAAGGAGGACGGTTTGCCGGAAAGAGGCCAGGCATGCGCATCCACTTTTTGAAGACCCCGAGGAAGTGAAAGCCGCAGACGTCGAGAGGTCGCCTTGATATCCCAGCTGAAAGGCCAAGCGTAGTTGCCAAGAGTGTCTCGATCCCTGAGCACGGCCCAACAATGCCGCCTTAAGCAAGGCTTTCGACTCCGAGATCGCCTTCGTGGACGGGACGCGGCCAGTGCTAAAGTGCCATGCCAGCTTCGGGACCATCAGTCAGGGACCGTCACCGACCGGGAGCACAGCGATGCGCCTGACCCATCGGCGCACCATCCTCCAAGCCTTCTCTTCTTCGGGATTACCATCCTCAGCGCTGCCCACCATTTGGCCAAGGACACGAAAGCTCGCGGAAAGAAGCGTCTCAGCGCCTCCGGCCGAGGGCCCGAGCACCAAACCTGGTCCCATGCCACCACTGCCCGTCAAATGGACTCAGCCGTGCGCCCCAGGGCCGTCCTATCATCAACAAACTAGTTTTGTATGATCTCCGGCACCCGGCACTGAACCTCCTAGCCCATCCATAGACTCAAACATAGACTCAAAGCCCAAGGGGATTCTGAAACCACCTTGCCTGCACCAGCCCAGGCTGTCAAGGTGTGCTTTTAGGTCTGCTTCAGGCTAGTTAGGCTAGTTCCTGGCAGAGGAACATAGGCTGCAGTCTATCACCGAGACAGCTCGCAAGCCGGAGCCTGCGATCACGAGACCAAGCAGCTAGTTTGCACAGTCACCCCGTCCAGTCACCAGTCAAGGCTGCAGTAATTGCCAGTCAACCCAACCTCTCCGAGGGGAGTAGCCCCTCACCTCAATCTACCTACGCTTTCCGACGCCCTTTTTCCGGCAACAGGTGATCGGTATGCGGGGCCTCGTTCGGAAATCTGACTCTTCGAGCAGTTGCCGGGCCTCGCGACAAGTTTAAAACTAACTGCGAAATAAAACATCTCAATCCGCTGGTGTCGGCAGCGGTTGTGTCGGCATGGAGAACCTGATTTTTGACCAGCGGATGTTGGTCCGGTATGAAGATGGCGCGAAGAAGCCCCAGCCAGCTCCACCCAAGCCTGCTTCGAAAGCCTGACTTGCTGAACGACAGCAGCAGTCCCGGGCAAAGCCAGCCTGCGGGTCATTGTAGGAGCATGTGGCCCACATGGAACTCCCGGAGATTGCATCGTTGACATCAGAATAGAGCTCGAAGTCTTGATTTAGCACATTGTCTGCACTTCTCCAAAAATAGATATAACCATGTGCATCGAATCCATTTCGCACCTGAATCTGCTTGTACACAGACCACTCATAGAAGGTGCTACCATCCAGGCTCACCTCCATAAGCCACACGCCACCGTTCTGCTGGAAGAGGTCATTGACGCAAGTCTGCGTGGCATCGAAAGTGACTCCGTCGTTGGCCACCGTCTGCTGGTCCCAATCAATGATCTTTACAAACTCCGTCATGTTTGTGCCAAATGACAAGGTGTCGAGAGCTCCGCAAGAGGCTGGAAGCAGCAGTTCCTGGGATGGGGCGAGAATGGCAGCCCCGCAACCCATCCAGCAAGAACCCTTCCTCCTGGCACAGGTGCAGCATGCTCCAGAATCCCCTTTCAACCTATATGTGGAGTCCTGTTGTTTCTCTTTCGCTCCCCCTCCCGGGCATGAGGAGCGTCAAAAGTTAATTCTCCGAGAAGAGCTGCTACACGCATACAATAAAAAAAAAAATATATATATATATATATGTATGTATGTATGTATGTGGGTGTGATTGGACAAAGTATATTCTCGGGTATGTAGCAACGTGCAGACAAGGAAAAGGAATGCAGATCCCCCGCAGCGACGACTACCGATCGAAGTAAACATGAACTCACAAACTCTCTATTTCTCTCTTCTTCAGCACAGCCAAAGGGGGCGAGCCCCCCCGCGCGCGCACGCGCACTGGTCGTCAAGGTCTGTCTGCAACCCCTCTACAAGATGAGGCCGCGGGTATGAGCTATTTCTCTCTCTCTCTCTCTCTCTCTCTCTCTCCTTCTAGCATTAGCTAAGTAGTAAGTACCCAGTCGCTCCAAGAAAAGGTTCGATACTGCTAAGCCAGCGCAGGGTCCCGGCATTTGCTAAATCAAACTAAAGCGATTTCCGACCAGGAGCCGTGGTTGTGGTGGGCATTGTTGTCGTGGGCGTTGCCGTAACATTCGGCAACGATGTTGTCGTCAACTCCTCATCACTTGCATTCCCTTTATCACAGCAGCCGATCCGGAGGCCTTTGTTTACTCCCTGCACCTTCCGGTAGTATCCAGGGTCTCCACGGCGGCGACGCCTCCTGAGCCTCCTGAGCCTCCTGAGCTTCAGGCTTTGAAGGTTAAATGAAACGGGCCCGGGTTTCATTGACATTCCCATCATGCGGCTTTGCTGATGTGTGTTTGCTCTATTCTCCGGAAGCTCGTGGAGGATCTTGATTGTTTAGGGATGTACCAGCAGGTTCTCGAGATCACAAGCTGACAAGGCGGAGGTTGACACATGGATCGACAACCATGAGGGTTTTGACATGGAAGCGACAAGCGTCTGTTCCATGAGCCCGGTCCACCGAAACCGTACCCCCAAACCCTTGCATCGTAGGCACCGATAACGACGAAAGCGGCCTTCTGTCTCGCCTTGAAAAGCTTCCTGCGCACCACCGAAAGTGATTGCACAAGCCATCACCCCACCAGGAATCGCTGCAGCCATGCAAAGACAGAATTCTTTTGACCGGGCACCTGTTCGGCCTGGGTCGGCTCGATGCCGGCATGGTGTTGAAGGAAGGCGTTTTCATCCGTGCATGTCTTCGAGCTGGCAGGGCAGGCAGAAAACCGCACATGCTACTTGCTGCTACTTTGACCTTTCATTCCCTCAAAGCCTGCAGACGCTCGGGTTGACTACAGCCTGCGCCACAACCTCAGCCACTCTCGCGGTTGCATTGCCGAGAGACCATGTCACGAGCACAACCATGCTTCAATTCGTGCGCTGACGTAGCTTCCAAGCTTCATCACCCAAGCTAAGCCACGGCGTAAGTGAGCAGTCACTACTTTCTAAGTACTTTGGAGATGACGCGGCGAAGGTTCTATTTCGCGGTCTGCAAAGCTCCACAGACTCCTAGAGTGTTCCGAGGAGATCCAGACGCCGATTCGATTAAAGTGAAAACGCTGAAGCTGCGGTCGAATGACAAGCACAGAAGCCACATGCAGCGCCGCAGATCTCATGCCCGTCCTTCTTTGAAATGTATCGAGTCGCGGTTGGGTTTCCCAGTAGACTCGAGCCAAAAATAAACGTCGGCAGGCTTGTTTTCAACTGAGTATCCAACTATTCAGAACTCGCTACGTCCACGAATATCAGCTACCCGTGGGGCGTGGTTCTGGCGCCAGCGATAGGCTAAGGTGGGATGACTACCGATGCTACAGCCACTACTAGTGCTACGAGTGTAGCATCACTCTGTGACCTCGCAAGACTTCCTGCGATGAGAGTTGGCGCGCTAATGGAAAGGGACAGCTGCGGCATTTTGCCCGGCATTTTGGCGAGAGTCACTGCAGATACTTGCTTAAACAGGCTACATCAGAAGCTTGGCCTCCGAGAAACCCTGCACTTGCCTGCGATCTTCGGGGCCTTGACATGGCAAGCTGGGGATGTCAGGATGCAGCAGGCATATCGGCAACCGGGTTTTGGGGCAAAGCACACAGGCCTGGGTCGACGGCATCCCTACTGCGCAAGGCTTCAGTAACCAAATCCTTGGGGCTCGGGGTGTCCGTCGATGCCCTGCAATGCACGCCTGCGCTTGCCTGCGTGTAGTCCCTTCCTGCATCGGGGTTTTTTTGCATTACAAGGCTTGCATACAAACCGCAAGCACCCGGCATCCGGCTGCATGACGAGACTGTTGATTCGCTCTTGTGAGAGCAGTCTGGATGAATAGGGTGGGCAGTCCCCAGTCGGACCATGGCCCACATCGCAACAAGTCCCTTGAACACACCGCACATTACCACACATTCGCTATGAAGCACTGGTGCCACGCAAGGCATAAAGGCACCGTCAAGGGTGCAGCTGAGCAGGCACAAAGAGGTGTTGTTGCCAGCAGAACGAGCATTGCCCCACAGGGCTTGCTGTTTCCGCCATCACTAGAATTGCCATAGTGCACCACGGATCCATCTTCGTGGCTGGCAACCAAACGCGAGTGGAGGCTTGAAGCACTCTCGATTTTTTGGGCCGACACCTTCCGCTGAGCTGATTGGGCGCCACGTTCCATCAACGTTCTAAGTGTAAAGGATGGTGGCAAAAGCCTCCAAGGAGCTTCGTAAAGTCAAAAAGTCAGATCATGCTCTCCGCGGGGCTCTCGGGCATGTCCACCTCGCGAACAACGTAGATACATTGCAGGGGCCTAGATGGCAGTCTGCATGCTATACTGCTATACTCACGCAGACATGAACACATGTAGGTAGATAGCTACATAGATAGATACACAGACAGGCAGGCAGGCAGGCAGGCAGACAGACACCCAGACAGACAGACAGACAGACAGACAGACAGACAGACAGACAGACAGACAGACAGACAGACAGACAGACAGACACGCAGACAGACAGACAGACAGACAGACAGACAGACCGACGGACGGACGGAGGGATGGATGGATGTGAGGGCGGCAGCCAGATTAGAAGAATGCCTCGCTGTGCAACCCCTTTTCAAAACGAAAGAGCAGCTGCAATAGAAAACCAATGCGGAGACCAGCACGACGGTGCGACGCAGTGAGGCTTGAAAACACCGAATCGTTTCTACAACAAACCACTGACGACGATGTTCGTGGATTGCTCCGCACGCGCTGGTCAAGCGGCAAATCGAGGAGGCTGAGAGTATCTTTTCTGTCGCCTGCTTAGCTCCTTCACATCTCGAGGCAGTGTAGGCAAAATCAACACGTGCTCTTCAAACACATGTCTTCCAGAAAGCGATTCTTGCAATGGCAGGTCTTTCCGCCCTGGCAAAGGCGGGGAAAACGATTTGCTGCCAGCCCTGCACAGCAGCTGAGTGCCCAGGCACGTGGCATTGGCCTAGCTATCAAACAAAGGGTTCTTGGGGCCAGGGCGCTTGGGCTGACCCTCTTCGAAAAGCGTAGATCTGGCTCCCGCTCCAGGTGTGCCAAAGAGGCTCGCTGTTCCTGCTGGCTTCGGGGCTGGTGCGGGTACAGCAGCCTTGGTGGAAGGCATTGTAGAGACGGGCACGGCAGAGCCTGTGCTGGGTGCAGCCATGGGCGCGGCAGGCGAGGGGGTGGTTGCCGGGCGGGCTGCAGCTTTTGGTGCGCTTGGTGCAGGAGCCGCCGCCTCGTCCTCTGCCTCAAAGGCGATGGCTGCGAGAGTTGGGTCTCTCGTCAAGACGGAGCTTGCTTTCATCAAGACCTGTAGCTGGTTGTTCAATGTGCGCCTCTCTTCAACTATGTGGGGAGGCTCTCCGAGGAGCTCGGACAACTTGTCTGGGTGATTCAAAGCATTGAGAAGCTCAAACTGTAGCTTGTCCTGCACTGCTCTAACGAGGTAGAAGCCAATCGCCTTTGGAATGGAATCTCTGATGTTCCTCACGGTAAGCTCGAAGTAGGAATCCAAGCGCTTTCGAATCTCAAGAACAAACGGGCCGCTGTACCGCTGCTGCTTTCTTTGGGCCTCGCTCTTCTTCAAGAAGTTGCTCACACTCTGATAGCCCTGCTTTGTAGCATCTTTCACTTGCTGAAAACCCTTCTCTGCCATTCCTGGCTCTTTCTTTTCCTCCTCAACTGGTGGGGGAGGTTGCTGTTGCTGCTGCTGGTTCTTGTACATCGGCTCCATGGAACCATGGTTGATCAAGTAGTCTGGATCGTTCGTGAAGAGGTAGCCCACATAACAGGCAATCTGTTCTTCCACGATCTTTCTGGTCTCATCCTTCTGCTGCTGGATGATGTTTTGCGTCATGTTCAGAACAGACTCCGCCATCCGAGGGAAGCGCCGGAACACTGCATGCGCCATGCGCTGCGACAGCACGTCCAGGGCTGCGGCGATGTTGTGCACACATTCCACGGACGGAATGGCGAGCTTCTGCAGGTGTGGCAGAGCCAAGAACTCGAAGGTATCTGGCGATGGAAATCCTGGCAACGCATCGCCCTCGTGCAGGCGGATTGCCTTGTCAATGTCGTCATCGGACATGTCAGCCGTGATCTTTGTCTCCATGAACTCTATCAGAAAATCGTTCATGATGGTGCGAATCTTCGCACCACCCGACCCTGAGCCACTCGCAGGCAGGTTACACATGTATCGCTGCAGCTTGCGGTCATACTTGCCTCTGATGGTGTTCTTGAACATCTCACAATAGTCCGTGACCAAAGTCCACATCACCTGGATCCTCTCTGCGGTTTCAAGCGGCACTCCCTCTCCAAGTTCGTCCAAGCGATCTTGGACAGATCTCCGCTTTTCGTTGATCTCTTTCTTGATTTCGGGCAGAAACCTTCGGATATGTTTGAAGAGAATCTGCGTCAGCTTGTCGATCAGAACTGGAGTTCCAGTCATGCCTGGGGGCAGCTTGCTGTAGATGCGGTGATTGTCAAACCACTCTTTCTCGTCTTTAAGGGAGTCCTTGACCGGCTTCTTGTTCACAATGTCTTGCTGGCTACGCATCTTTACCCCGACATAGCCAAGGCGTAGAGGCACATCATCACCTCTGAGCATGGATGCGGCATCAGTTCCTTGATCCATGATGTCGATCTTGGTGATGACGCCGATAGATCTCAGGCCCTGTGGGTCTACCTGACGGGCCAGCTGGAGACTGTCCGAAACGGACATGTCCTGGTTGGCTGGCAGCACCGCCAGCACAATCGTGCGAGGGTCGTTGATGTAGTGGAGCGTCATGTCCTTCGTCAGCTTCTCAATATCCTCTTTCTGGTCACTGCCCTTGACCGGCACTCTGGTAACCCCCGGCAAATCGATCAGTGTCAGGTCTGGTGCCCCTGTGGCATAGATCGTGAGGATGATGGGGTCATTAACGATCCCCTTGTTCGAGCCTGCGACTTGATCCGTCTGGCGCTCGATCTCTTGCCTGACCTCGTCAAAGTTGGTGAACTTCTTATCTCCGACCTGAGTTGCGCGACGAACTATCTGCGCGAAACACACCTGCAAGAGTACAGTCCTGATACCAAACGATCCTGAGGCCAGGCACCTTGTCAAAGACAGCCCAAGCCTTGTCTTCGGCGTACTCTTGGGTGTTCAAGTGTACGAGACGCAATTCCAGGGGGCGTCGAGTGACAACGCCCCCTCCACGCGGCAGAAAGTCCAGGCCGACGATGGACTCAATGAGAGAACTCTTTCCTCGCACCAAGCACGGTAAGTAAGCTAAGTAAGCCATAAGCTGGAAAACCGGCTGCGGTGGCACTATGCAAGCACGACACAGTCAACGTATCCTCTTAGGAAGACTAACCTAACGCCCGAGCCCACTTTCTGACTTCGCAACACCAAGCCGCCACTGCTCTGGGTCCCGATTGCAGCTATCCGCGGAAGGCTGATGTAGTGCTGCAGGCCCACATCTCGCAGCTCATCTACCACGGTGATGAGCTGCCTCAGGTTCTCATAGATGGCAGACATGCTGGAGTTGCGCCGGCTTGCCTCACGCAGGCCGGTGCTTGAGCCGACGAGCAGCGCAAACAAGCACATGCTAGTTCATGTCTCTGCGCTCTATCTGTTTCTATGTGTGAAACATGCCCCCGTGTTGTTGCGCATGATTTTGCATGTCAGCTCGTGCCAGTGGTCAGGATGACAAGCCCCCAAGCCGAGTCAAGTGCCACGGTGTCGGCATCGCCAGAGATGGGGTTCTCAAAGGCCCCGGTGATGTTTATGACCTGCCGGGGACACAAAACAGGTGCGGTGGCCTGTGCCACAACAGGAGCTGCCCACCCCATAGTATCCGGACGTTAAGCTCAAACCTCAGCATGATTTTGCATCTTCAAGAGTATGCAAAAGCCTGCTACGGACGATCCGATGATCAAGCGCATGCCTTCATGGTTCCGAAAAGACACCTCTTCGCGAGCAAGGCGCGTGAAAACGAAGAGTACACCGTGGCAGCAGAGTCATGAGTGTTGCTGAGACAAGGTGCTCTGCCCCGATCTCCAGACGGGAAGATACTCCTCACCATCTCACCACCTGCTACTATCAGCCTGAATATCATTATCATGAGAAAGCTCCTTCTCGGTTCTGCCGACCGTTGTTTATCAAATGTCTTGTGTCTACAGGTATGCTTGCATATGTATGTATATATACATATATATATATATATTGTATTTATTTCTATGTGTATATATATATTTATATATACCGCCTGTATTCGCTTCTTTCTGACTCGTTGTGCCACCCTCGGCCTCGCCCCTCTCATCGAAGCGCAGTTCAGATCATCGGGGCCAGGTGCCGCTGGGAAAGGCAGAGTACGATCATCAGAAGGAGAATCATAATTACTTCAGCACTTGTCTGAGGTGTCGTGGACATGAGAAATTGTCAACATAGCAACCTGCTTGGTGCTATCGCTGCGGAGAAGCATGATGTGGTCAGTCAGCAGCAAACATGCAGGGCGGCAGCCGTATGAGCAAACTCAGTCAGCTCCCTGTCACTGTCACTGTTCACAACTGCTTTTAGCGAATCAAGGTCACACCTTTACTTCGTGGTCCTTTGACTCCAGCATGTCATCGCTGGAGGTGTGCGACCCCTTTTTCATGTATTTGGTCATCCCATGCAGCTGGCCTTAGGCATCAAGGAACAACACTGAAGATAAACATCCATGAAAGGGCAACCACGCCGCAGGTCAACACCAGAGATCCGATGGAGGGACTCTTGCTTACAAGTCACCGATCGTGCGCACCTTGTCCGGACACATCTGACACAGCCACTTCAAAACTCGAACCCGGCAAAACAGTCTGAGGCAACTGACAACCTTCCAGTTTCCGCGGTAGGAGTGGAGCTCTTCGAGCTCGTCCAGCAGATTTAGTACAATGAGGATAGCGGTCAGGATGACCTTGGAGCAAGGCAAGAAACAAGGGGGTTCTTCGGAAACCGCACTGAAGCAACAGATGATACTCGAACGTACAGAAACCCACGCTCCACAACGAAACGCCTTGGATGTGGGTCTCACAAAAGACGAAACTTCTCCCCATGATTTGTCGAGTTCTTTTTCCCGGGAGTCTCAAAGTGCAGAGTCGCATCTCCACATATACACAGCTGGACATCTAAGATGCCGGCGCATAGGTAGAGACCTTCTTTGCCAGTGATTCTGCCCGATAAGCTAAAAGACAAGGCTGCGAAGAGCAGCTGCACAGCAACTTGGACCTGTGAGCAAGGCTGCATGGCGAGCTTCGAGGATGAGACGGCGCAGCTGTGTTTTGCCTTCTCCGGCCTTCCACATGACCACAGCCGCTTGTTGCAGCTCACGGCTGGGACGTGTGGCTCGTTGTGAAGCATCCGCATTGTAGTCACAGAGAGCAGCAAAACACCAAAGCCTTAAGGACATGACTCCAAACCACGATCGGAAAGCAAACGCAGATCCGTGGCAAAAGCGGTGCCTTTGCGGCCCGAGCGGCCTTGGCAGAAGCTCTGCCCAGCTTTTCGGCTCCCAACTGCACTGGCCGCTCGGTCCTGCGAAATGCACTGCGGCCTTCTCCGCTTTGCCCTGAGACGACCCAGCCTTGAACTCGTCATCGAGCACCAAGAAGGAGCCGGCTGCCATCATCATCACCTCAAAGAGAGACCCCCACACACGCAAACACACAACTCTCGCAGGGACTTTCTTGGTGGTGCCAACGAGATGTCAAAGCTGTTGCAGCTTGAGTCACGCCCGCCATTGCCACCGGAACCAAGCTGAGAAATGCTGCTGGGCGCAGTTGCGAGGTCTCACACCGAACTGCATGCCACTTCGTGTCCTGAGGGCATTTGCGATACCAACTCGCCCCCCTTCTTCAGGCATGCAGCACCAGTCGAATGTGTAGTTGTGTACGCTCAAGGCTCCGCGATGTGAACATCGTATAGCAGGATCTTGACCAGCAGCACCAACCTGCTCAGTCAACTGCCTTTATGGCCGATGGCCACGAAATGTCCCCCTCTGCTGGGGCTGTGGCAACAGGGAGGACATGAGGGTCCAAAAGCTCTCGTGGCCCAGCTGTATCTGCCCTGCACCACGCCAGCTTCAGCACGCATTACGCACCCTGTCTCAGCACTGCTCCGCCTGGTTCGACCCCCTTGGTAATGCATTTCACCACCAAGGCCTCTGAAAAGACGGAGCAGGGCCCAGCAATGATACTTCCGGTCGAAGCTGGCAGAATGCTTCAAAAGCAAGTGCTGAATCAATCATGCCGAGGACAAAGCGAGGGTAGTGATCATAACAGTCTGAGACCGACCTGAACCGATGCGCAAACTTCAGGTCGCTCGGTCTCCCTGAAACAGGGAACCCCCTCAGGCAGCAGCCAATGTAGTCCTTCGCATTACGCTGCCTCGTGATCGAATCAATGAGGTTGTGCTGCGGCAAGCCATACGTCCTTGCTAGACAGATCTCGTGGTAAGATGTGCTTGGCAAAAGAGACCGTCCTGGGGAAGAACAGTGCACAGGCAATCCAGCAGAGCACCTTCAACAGTGGCTGAGGGAGCAATTTTAGGAACGTGGTTCATGACAAGTGCCTGGCAAAGCCGTTCAGAGCTTCTTGCCGCGAAGAGGTAGAGACCGGCACTTGTCGCATTCAGAACGAGGTGGAAGGTAGCAAACGTGCCTCATTGCTGCAGGTAACGCTAGCCCAGCCCCGCTCCAGCTGAAACAACTCGAGCGTGCATCAGTCCAATCCTGAGCAGCAGGTCATGAATGCTTTTGACAACATGGTAGTTGATCGACAACAACGAAACAGCTGCTGGACTGCATGCGTCGAGGTCTCAGCATGTAACAGGCCGCAAGACCATTTAAGTGCAACTTTCGAGCGTCTGGGTTTCCAGCTGCCAAGACATCACCTGCAGTGCTGCTCCAGCCGGACTTGCAAGGTGACAGAAGTTGAAATCGCCTTCTAAGTGCCGTTGCTCGCTCGTGCGTGTGACGGTCTTGGTATCGCGGACATGTCGGGACGATACTTCGCCTGTCCAGTTCACGTCCATGAAAAAGATGCTCATAGCCAGCCTCAAGCAAGCAGTCTCTAGACCCCATTGGCCGAGAAGAATGTAGGCCCAGAGCCCCGACGGGTACCCAAGTTAAGCAGTGCCCTAAGCGACAGAATTGGCGTGCGACTTCGCGAGATAAGAGTCACAAAATGCAATGAATACCCCTGGTCGCGAACCAGTTCTGGAATTGAACAGATGTAAGGTACGCTTGCTCGCGCTGAGCTGCTGCAGTATGCCAGACTCGGCACCCGTTTTGTCCAAGCCATGGAGCCCGCTGAGAATCCATTTCCACTTCTGCATCCCTCCAGACTGGATAACAACTGGGCCAGAAAAATCTTGAACTGCCTTGCTTTGTTTTGCTGCCCGTGGCTCACTCTTGATATTTGGAGCCAACACCTTTGGCTTGTCTCTAGCCGGACAGCCTGCAAATTCAGAACTGAATTTCTTCTAGACAGGTGTGTGCCTGATGGAAGCACTCCGGTTGTCACAATGGGCGCCCATGAAAGGACCCGTGTGCAACGTGTAGTTATGATACGAAGAGTGAGCAGGGCCACAAACTTGAAATATGTTTGAATCATGGAAACCTTCGTTATCGCATGCTCCGGTACAATCGCAGGCATGGAGCGAGAGCAGCGCCAAGAACACGAAAGAGGCCCCTCCGGCTGGAAAACTCTTTGGCGTGCTGCTTGCTAGAGACTTTGTCACTACGCTTGCGGTACGCTACACCATACTATGCTGGGGTTCCGTCGTATGATTAGAGTATAATGGGACTCAAAACCCTATTCTAATTCTTAAGGCCCCTATAACACCGATACTGAGTGGTGTCTACTTGCAGCCTAGCGGCAGGATGTAGAACACACGATGATCTGATCCATCAGCACTGAATCGGGTAGACTCAGGAAGGCAAGAGCGCAGCAGAGAAGGTCTTTCAGGCAGGACCGTGCGGGGCAGGCCGTAGCCTCTGCAATACCTCTCCTGACCAACTCGCAACATCCGGTGGGGGAGAGCGGGGTGTGTGGACTGTTTTGGAGTTGCAGCTTCTTCGTTGTCTCATTGTTGCTTACGTGTGCTTCTTTGTCTCGCCTCTCACCTCCAGCAATTGTTTATCATATCGTCTTTTTTGCTTGCTGCAATTCCTCTTCTTCGATGGTTCCTGTGTTGGTCCTTGTTCTGGATTACCGCCCAGGAACATATTCAGCGGATGCTGCATAAAGGCTCCTTGGTGCAAATTTCGATACAGATGACATGCCATGGCTAGCCATGCGGTCCGATCACACACACCATGATGACAAACAAGGTGCCAATACGTAAAGAGAGCCAGCAGCAAGCGTGGCAGCGTCTGTCCCTTCGCGAAGTGCATGGCTATAGTAGCCTGGGGCGACAAGCAACAGCAACGTCCTGCACCCGTTCCGTCAATCCAAGGCACCAAGGAGGAACCATATAGAATCCAGCAAAAAGCTTCTTGCTTGGTCACCTTGGGGAGTCAACTGAATCTCTTGCTCAACCGCTCACGCAACTTGCAAACATCGCCTGCTGTCTGCAATGACAAGCTACCGTGCAGTTATGCATAGCATGTACCAGGTACCAGAAAAGGCTAACACTTCACCATACGTTATACTGCACACATGGCTAACTTCTGCGAAGTGTCCCCTCTCTCGTCATGCTTGTCGCGCAGTCGAGGCAGGTCCCATTTCACCGATCTCCTCCAGGCAAATCCGGAATATATATATATATATATATATTAAAATTTATAAATATATATATATATATATATATATATTTGTATTCCAATTACTATGGTGGAGGATCCCTTGGTTTGCGTCTGGGTCACGCTGACTGGCGGAGATGGGACACTTCCAGGGAGTATGCTCCTGCTCCACCTCGGCACCGACCACCGATCACATGTGACCGCCTGTCCAAGCCCTTGAACCTCAAACCTCTCTTTCCCCCTGGCAGTCGTGTAGCTCGCTGTGGAGGTCTTGGAGGATAGCCGGCTATCCATCGGCTTTGGGCGAGTAAGCACCCTGCATGCTCCCTGTAGAATATGGTTGGGTCGTTGTGCTGTGCGTTCCAGAAGTCCATTGGGCTGCTAGCCGCATGTCGCTGCCAGACAGACGCGACAAGAGGTTGAGTGCGAAAGCTGCGCGATAAAAAACATGAGCCTTTGAGATGTGCAAGTTCCGATGCGCTGCTGTGACAAGGAAGCATTTGACAGCGATTGCTCGCCGCGACAATCGATCACTGCTCTTCGTCAACCAGTCGCTGTCGTGGAAAACCAACAACTGGCTTCAGCCGTAGTAGTAGAGGCTCTCTTCCTCGGATAGCCGAGACATGCGCAAAGATCAGACCTGGTCCACTGGGAATCTTTATGCAAGTTGGGCTCATCGGAGAGCAAAGTTAACGGACGAGGGTTGCCCGCCCATGTGTACCAGGCTCCATCGAAGTCCAAGTCCAAGCTGACCTGGAGAGCTTCGGTGACACATTTGCCACCGCAAAAAGGCGACGTAAAAGCAATCGATAGGCCCGTTGCCTTTGGGACGTGGCGACGAAACTGGCAAAACACTCCAAGCCCCGTCCTCGGTTGCAAGTAGCATCATATCCAGTATCGGACGAGACTGGGCTCAAGGCCCTAGGCAAACGCCTCACCGGGTTTGACTGATGCCCGCCCCTCTCTTGCAGCTTCAGCTGCACACTTGTGTGATGCGAGTGATACATCCGGACCCAGCCCGTCAGCTCCGGCACGGACTCATCGCCGAACTTGCATCTGGCAGCCTGGCTGGGTTCTGCTGTGAGCTGCGTCTTTTTTTGCCTCCTACTTAGCAAGGACAAGCCCGCATTGCAGGGTAATGTCTGGTCTGTGACTGTGCAGGCATACCTCAGATTTTAAGGCATGCCAATTAGGCTATCAAGTCCTGTTACAGGCTTCAGCTCACTTAGGGTTTTGGGTTTAGGGTTTAGGGACTTCCCCTGTTTGAGGCGAACTTGAACAGACTGGAGCCCCATGATTTTATTGGGAGGCCTCCCAGCCATCAAAGATGCAACAATACAGTTGCCCTCCGAACCTCAAACATCCTCGCTGCAACTGCGAGGACGACTAAACTCTACCCTAGTCCACGGATATGGTGATACTGCAACTTGCATAGACTAGATACCTCAACACGTGCGCACGTCTCGCTTCTAAGCAGCATCACAAACAGAAACCTCATGCATGGTCCGAGCTTCCGGGTCCCGCCTCAATGAGTTCCAGTAGCGCCACTCGTTCAGAGTAGGACTCGCAGGACCAACCCCGGGCATCAACCGGCCGTAACATGGCCTGACCAGGTGGAGTAGGTTGAGCTGATGGTGATGGATGGAACCCTAAACCCACGCAGTGCCCACGGGCCCAGAGAGCTGGGGAAGGAGGCGGGATTCCGGCGGAAGGCTGGGCCTTGACCTCATCGTGGACGCCTTCGGCCCATCCGCTCGTGACCACTGTGGGCTCGCGCCGCAGCACCTCACCGCCTCTGAGCAGTCGAGAGCGAGGAAAGCACGGAGCATGTCGCAAGCTGCCAGTCAGGACGGTCATGGAAACAATTCTGTACTTCAACTTGCTCTCGGCCAGATAAGGCACTGTAGTGCAGCTCGTACGAGATTACGGCCTGAAGCTGCGTCGTTTGAGTTGACAATCGCACAAAGCATTTGGAGAAGTCGTTGGGGACCTGACGACAATGTTTTCGGTGCCGGGAATGCGCCATTCCTCCAGCTGGCTTCTTGCCAACGCTCTGGCTTCCGTCACCCATTCAGGGCGTTGGCTCCCGTCGCATATCCGAAAACCTGAAGCTTCAGGCATAACTGGTGGGCAGCGGGAAGTCACACTAAGGCTTCCAGCCTAGCTCTTGCATGGCCTGTCGTGCATAGACGTAACCTTGGGCCAGCAGAGAGCAGTCGGCCGACATGCCAGTCTGTGTGCGTGCCTGCAGCTTCGCGGAAAAAACGTAGTTGAGTTGTTTCAGCCAAGTCACCAAAATTTGTGAGTCCTCAAGTGGTAGGGGTGACTCTGCATGGCGGCTACAAAGGCATGCCCGTAATTTGCCCAGCTTCCGGCTGTTGTCACCTCTTCCGCTAGCTCCTCGACGATTTTGTCAGACTCCTCCACAGAGTCTCCTCCGGGCGTCGCACCTGGAGACGTGAACAAGTTCGGCGGTGGCATCTCTGGTGCCTCTGCATCGAGCTCCAGGCATTTCTGCAATGCCCTCAAGACAGGGTGGAAGAAGCGCTGGCGAAACTCCACATCTAATTCTTCCGCACCTTGCAAAACAGATTATGTCGAAGGACACAAAAGTTCTCTTGACGTGCAGCCGTGAGCCAGCCCAAGCCTTTAGACATACGGCGTCACCGAGCCAGTGGCCTCTGCTTCGAAACCGGTGGCGAGCCACGATGTTCGCGAGCTCAGTACTGGCCTTGGCTGTACCAGCGCCTGATTCGGCATGGTCTTCCTTGTTTTGCCTGTATCTATGCCTGCTTTAAGTTTGTTCGTTGCGTTTGCGTTGCTTTTCTACATGACACCATCCACTCATCTCTACACGCACACACACGAGTCGTCTTCTGTACATGAAGTCGGAAGGTTCCAATTCCTTATAATATTACTTTGCCAGTTGAGATATGGTTTCTTACATGAACATGAATGCATAGGATTACAATTGCACTTCTCCTTGCTGCACGCACGCGGTCTCTGCTTGGATCTGGTGCAAACAGTTCTGGTACTGTTCTCCGCCGTAGCTGGGTAAACTGCGGCTTTACAAATGTTGCGCACTGTTCCCAGCCCGTACGTTGCTGATGCGAACAAAGGTTTCCTTAGTTTGTGACTTGATACAGCATTATGGGATGTTCTAAGCTGCTGACTGCCATTCTCTAGTGCTTTAACACTCAATTTGCAAAAGGGTCATCTCAGTGGTGGTTGCACCAAGTACATGTACAAACACGGTTGTATTTGCACACGCATGCATTCTATATGATTTGCGTGGTTCTTCTAAGCTGGCATCGTGTTCGGGCACATGTCTGTCTCTGCCTTGCCGTTAGTCGTTTTCGTGTCATGACGCAAGCTTTGAAGATCTATGAGACACTACTTTAACCTCCTGACATTTTGGGTCAGTGGGTTCGGCACATACATTCACACGGGCGGACAAAAGGCACACACGCACACACTTTGACACTAAAAAACACATCTATTCAGACAAATAGGTAGTTGGGCAGATAGATGGGTAGATGGATGCCTGTATGTATGTATGTATGCATGCATGTATGTAAAACACGCAATAAAATTGTACCCACCTTTCTTCCTTCCCTCCCCTCCTTCCTTGCTTCCGTCCCTCCTACATACATTTGTTTAACACACCTGCTCGAACAGCCACAGACCAGGTTTGCGTCTCCCCTACCACATACAGACATGCATAATTAAGTGCCCGCATGCATCCGTGCTTACATAGATCATGTAGATGTATATCTCTCACAGCTTGGATAATCCGGGCGAGGCGTCTGAGTACCTATCTGTATATGATATCTATCCTTTTCTTCGCTCGGGCTTTGCTTACGAAGATACATACTAGGCATACGCAGTCCTATGAGGTGCGAGCGTAGTAAGCCCATGTATACGCTTCCTTGTTATTGTGTGCTGGATTGTACTGGTGTAAAATCGTTGTGGCGTGCAACCACAGCACCCGCACATGGCATCCGTTGCGGAAGACGCTGACCTTCGTCTTGCCCTTCACCCGGAACGCTTATGCCATGCTGACACTGCTTTTACTTCGTTGAACTTGACAAATTAAATTTCTCAGTCAACTAATATCTGAGGATGCAGCTGCAGCATCCGAGAAACCATCAACAGAAAGGAAGCGAGGCACCGCGGCCTCTCAAGCAAGAGACCCCCAAAGTTCTAAGCACACCGGCTGCGAAGAAGACTCAACAAGGGCCTCCAGGAAGGCTCGCAAACGATCTTCGTCGCCAGTGACATCGAAGGCAAAGGCCAGATTAGCCAACTCCTGCGAATGGACGCAGTTGAAGACTTTGGGCCTTCCGACAAACCTTTTTGTGGGCGGACGGTCCTGCGCCCCGAACTCTTGCGCCTCGATCTTCTCAAGGGAAGCGGCGAGTAGAGCTTCCGAGAGCCTCTTGCCTGCAGCTCGCGGAGATCCCTTTAACAAAAAAAACCTTGTCTCACATCATCTGTCATCTTCATGAACGAGGGTGTATGGTTGTATAGCGCAGCAATAGGGGTTGGTAGTTGCGGAATCGTAGGCAGCATCGGGCCATCGAAACCTGGGGGCAAGGCTCCGGAAGCCCAGTACTGCATAAGCCCATGCCACATTGGCCAGGCCCTGACCAAGGCGCTCTCGTTGCGGATTTAAAACAACGGTTGTCGACATGATTCCATGCCTGCCCATCGAAGTCTTTAACCTGCACCCGATACGGAACACCGGACCGACAACTGATGTATGAAAGCGATTGCAGGACATGTGCGAGCAACATGGCCTTGCGGACTATTGCCAGGGAAAGCCTTGCAAGTTCGATCTCATGCAGAACACTGCATCTCGTGATGTCTAGTCTAGTTCAATCTCATGCAGAACACTGCGTCTCGTGCCGCGAATGGCCCAAACTCAGTACGCCACGTCTGCATAAGCCGCTCATTCCAGAGCCCAAGCCTGCAAGAATGGCCAAGATGCATCTCGAAGCCAATTGCTGTAAATCGAAGCGTTCTTGGGATCCCAGCTTCGCATATGCCCAGGCAGTATTTGCCAGGTTCTGCGTGGAGAAATCGCTCACCTTGGCGATAACCTGAACTTCAGCGAGTCTGGACATGGGGGCACTTGCTGAAATCTGTAGAACAGCGGGCCTCCAGCAAGATCTGGTCCATGAGGTCACCTCGTTTATATTGCTCTGCAGATCTCTCCTGACCTCACGTGGGAACACTATCAGCCAAGCCGCTGTCGGGAAGACCCAGGGTGGCAAAGGCCCATGCCTTGGTTTGTATAGCACATCGGATCAAGTCCTTTCTGAGGCTTCAGCCGCTTGAACAGCCTTTTTTCGGGGGTCGTTGGACCCCACGCGATGCATTGGGGCCACCACGGTGTTTGCCAGATCCTGCGGGATCAAGTCCTGATGAGGAGACTTTGCTTGCTGGCGTGACCGGGGCCATGCAGGCTGCATCCTCTCCTTGACCATGGTGACCAACTTCTTCCCGATTGCTGTCATCATCATCGCCTGACAATAGAGCGGCAGGAAGTCAGCCTAAGGCAAGCTTGACGCCATACCAGACACTCTGACACAATCCCAGGCAGGGGTCCCCACGTTTGAAACAGCCATCTTTGCAAAAGCCTCGGCCGCTGTTCGTCAACCATCGGTGTGAACTCTCGGTTGTTTCTGGTATGCGCGTAGGCATCGGCATCCTCGCTAAGCGCACGGGATCCAGGTTACCAGACCTTTTGCCATAGGCTTCCTCCTGCTTGCCGACATGACTGGGGCCCACACCCACGAAGTATTGGACAGGTCCTGGTTGCCAAAGCTTTGGATCTTTGCCATGACCTGCTATGCAATGTTAGAAGCCACCGCCGTCATAAGAGGAGAAGAAGAACCCCGCGAGCAAAAGTCGCAAGCATAGCATTAGGTGTACGTTGGAGTAGTAGTAGCAGGAACGGCAGCGTTGCCGTGGCAATAGCAGTAGCTAGAGCATGAATGGCATGAGTTGTAAGTCTAGCATAACTATGCGTAGTCTGAAAGGTGGTGGTAGTGGTGGTAAATGCAGCGGTAGCAGTAGTAGTCGTCGTCGTCGTCGCCGTCGTCGTCGTAGTAGTAGTCGTCGCGTCGTAGTCATCGTCGTAGTAGTAGTCGTCGTAGTAGTACTACCAGTAGTAGTTGCAGTGGCAGTAGTAGTAATAGTAGTAGTAGTAGCCAGCGGCGTG